GAATATATTTTTTTGCATGAATTTGCCTAGTGATGATGTCGATAATGACAATCACTTTGAACATGGCGGACAAAGAAAGCGGACAAAATATACAGTTCCTCAGCAGGGCGGATCTAGCTTTTTGCTAAGGGGGGGGTTTGACCCAATGACGATGCGAAGCATCGTCCACGAGCCGCGCAACGGCGAGGTGATTTTCTTTTTTTTTGTTTCTTTTTTTTTGGGGGGGGGGGCTATTTTGAACCCCCGGAAGTGATGTTTTTCTGGCATCTACTAACACAATGGAGAACATAAAAAGCATTGCACGATAACGTCTTTTTAAATCAAGTAACAGTTTAATACACAGTTATATCCAAAGTTATCATCATTTGTTTGGTTAAGTTACCAGATGAGTTGAATATCTTCTCATAATATTTACACTTGAAAGGTTTCTCTCCAGTGTGCGTTCTTTCTTTGTGGTCTAACTCTAACCACTTGGTCGGACCTCTCTTTGGGGAAATCAATGACTGGTTAACATTTCAGTGAGTCTATATAATAGACTGAGCACACAGTCATGTATTGTGATTAGTCAAACAGGATGGAGCTGCAAAAGAGTCGCCTTGGGTTAGCCGTGACGAAGCGCTTGACCACCTCTGCCGTGTCTAGCTGTGCTGCTTGGCTGTAGTGGACGGCCATCAAGGTGAGGCCCCCCAGCCTCTCCTCCGTCGTGGTGGATCGCAGGTATGTCTTCACACGTCTGAGGGCACTGAATGACCGCTCAGCCTCGCAGGACCCGATTGGTGACGTGCAGCCAACCAAGATCAGCTCCCTGATGTTGGGGAAGATGTCAGCATCAGCTAGTGGCAGGGTGTCGATCAGGTTGTCAGGGACGTCGCCTTTCTGACAGTGTGCCGTGCAGAAACTCTTCCAGCGCACCAGCTCTCTCTGAAAGCACAAAAGCAAAAAACTATCCGTATATAATAAGGATTTATTTGATACAATATCTTCACAATATCCACAACCTAGTCTCTGAAAGCACAAAAGCAAAAAACTATCTGTATATAATAAGGATTTATTGATACAATATCTTTTCACTATTAAATGTGAAGTGTCAATATCGTATCTTCAGGGCCAGGGGGAAAAGGAGATCCTTCTCCCAGAAGAGCAGATCCTCAGCCAGTGACTCAGCATCCACGAGCCCTACCACCACCAGAGGGACGAGTGACATGATAGACTTCAGTGCACGGTTGTCAGCAGAGAACCTGGCGTCCAGCTCCTGTAGAAAGCTGTCCATGAATGGAATCCCAGCTGTTCTCTTGTAGTACTCACTAAAAAATATCAACATTGCAAAGGCTTGAGACAGTGGTCCATCAGAATATTGTCTCTGTTCAAGGCGCATCACAAATTTGTTTGTTTGTGAAATTGTACTCAATTCAGCTTTCAGGCTGCTATGTACTTTTTTATTCAATAAACCATTTTCAATTCAAATGTTATTAAAATTCACATTGTATTAATTAGTGCAGATACCTGGCTGTGTCAGCTGGAGTATTTGCACGGTGTGTCTGGTGCTTGGCTCTTCTTGGGACCGTGATCTCTCCCCCAACATCAGCAGCAATCGTCTCGGCCTCTGTACACCAGTTCCTCCAGACCGAGTCGAAGTCCGCTCTCTGTCTTCTCACCTCATCAATAGCTGTGTCGATGAGGTTGTAGGCGGCAACCACATCAGCATCTCTCTTCTGGAGTTTGGTGCTCAGGCCTTTCACTGTATCCAGGCCATTGACCAGGATGACCAGGGCTATGATGTTGCGGCCATTCCTGAGAGAGGTCATGAATCCCTGAGCCCTGGTACGGGTTTCAGCATCCAAGTCCCATGATGACTGGATCTCTGCATATTCCCCTGGTTGCACCATGGCGTGCACGCATGTGAATACGTACTCATAAAGAGTACGGAATGTTTCCAGACAGTCGTGCCTCTCTGTCCATCTCGTTTTGCAGAGCCCTTTGAGTTTTTGAACGTGGCTTTCTGGTGCATAGGTAGCGAGTACCGTTTCCAGGAAGCGTTGTCGTTTCGGAGACAGATGGAAGAAGAGATGGATTTCATTGATCACGTCGATCACATTGCGTAAGTCTTGTACCTTACATGCTTTGCCAATGGCCAAGCTCAGAACATGTGAGCGGCAATGCGTGTACAGCGCCAGTGGATTCTTCTCTTTGATTACGGCCTGGGCTCCCCTTCTGTAACCAGCCATTGCAGACGCTCCATCATACGACTGCCCCCGCATATCATGTACATCAAGGCCATGCTTGTCGAGAAGGCTTAAGATGGCTTCGGCAATCCTCTCACCAGTCGCCCTCTGCAGATGAAGAAAGTCCAGGAACACTTTCCTGACGTGAGGCTTCCTATCAGTGACATCCACAAACCTCAAGCATAGTGACAGTATTTCTTGATTTCCGTGCGGATCGGTCACCTCGTCAGCCATGACGCTGAAGTATTTCACGTGTTTCAGAGGTGCCATGATGGTGTCACGCAGGCAGTCCGCAGTGATAGTGATGATCTCGTTCTGTATTGTTTTTGATGTGTACTGTTGGTTCTTTTTTCCCTGCTCCAAATGTTCCCGGAGGATCGGGTCACATTTGGCAGCGTGATCTAGAATTGCATTGAAGACTCCTCGGTTGGTGAGCGGGTCTGCCGTTTTGTCATCTCTGTGACCACGTAACGGTAGTGCCTGCATGCCACACAGCTTGACGGTATCTACAATCACTGAGAGGATGTGCCTGTTCTTATCGGAGAGCGCCTGGCCCTTTCTGTCGATAATGGTGTCAATTCTGGCTTCAGGGTTGGTGTATGTGGCCAGAAATGCCTTTCCCATCACCATTGCATCATGGTGGTATTTGTGTGCGTCGTGGTTTCTGAGACAGCCCTCTTTGCCCTTGGCCTTGCTGAAATTCTTGAATGGGGTCTTCACCAGGGTTCCAAGCACTCCTTTGACCAACTTGGCTTTGAACAAGACGCAGTACTTGCAGTAGCCTCCACCTTGTGAAGGGGAGTATGACAGCCACTCATAGTCTTTGAGCCATGACTCTTGGAAGCTGAGCGGGATTCGCTTGCCCTTCTTTGTGACCTCATATGTTACAAACTCTCTTCCTTGGTAGCTGTGTGTCAAGTAGTGATAGCGATCACTGTCAGTGACAACAGACGACCGCCCAGTCACCAACAACCCAATGTCCCACTGGTATGGTAGCTCTGTTCCTGTAGCTGCCCTAGTGCTGCTAGCCTTGGTTGGGTCACTCTGGGGTACTGAACCACTGTCTTGAGGGGTATTAGTGTGATCAGTGACAGTGGGGGAGGTCCCATCACCAGGAATGTCCGAGTGCAGGTGCAGTTCAGTTACAGTACATGCAGCAGCGACAGTATTAGACTGAGGCTGAGAGTGAGAGACAGAATCAGGTGTCAGACTAGGTGAAGTGTCATGGCTAGTATGTGCAGCTTGCTCAACGCCACCACCAGAAGACGCAAATCTACAAAGTATAAAATAAATTGTAACTGCCACTGTAGTACAGAAGTACCGTAGATCAGGCATTTAAGACTATTATTAAAGCTATATAGGCTTCTATAGTAATGTACCACGATGTTCTGTACTTCTGGCAGTAGGATACGCCAGTATTATCTATAGGCAGGCTATAGTTCTCGGTGAGTACTAGGAACTAAACTGCTTGGAAGCTATTATCACCGACCGAGTCACAAAATCATGAATTCTAAGAAAAGAACAAGTCACATTGTATTCACAGTTGGGATACCATGTACAGTACGTACTGTGCAATTGTATTTTCAATTTTCAAGTTCAAGTTTCAAGTTTATTTCTTCCACAGTTTACAAAAAATATAGACATACATAAAATGATATAAAATAACAATTATACAATAGGCCTACATGTAGTATATTATATGAGCACGTCTCAATGATTCTCAATTCATAAAATAGATTAAGTAGAATGTGAGGAACCTAAATCGGTACTAAAGCCTCGGTAACAAATGCCATTACGAACTGCTACTAACGCCGTACGAACGATTTTCAGACAATGGAAATTCGGGAAGACAATTGAAAAACAGGGAGATTCGTACGAAATTATCGTTCGTACGGACCTTTGTGACCGTAGCATTACTTGTATATTATAGGTTCCTGGTAAAATAAGTATTGTAAATGAAAAAGCCGTAGCAGTAGAGAAAGACGTAATTTAGACGGGCGAATTTAAAACACAATGGAATATAAGGGAGTTTGTACACATTAGCTCCAATACCCAGAGTCACCCGTCGTCCCGGTTCAAATGCATAGTCAAAATGCGTATAGTCACGCAGGTGCGAAATGCTTTCACTTCACTTCGCACGCGCGAATTACGCATATATTTATAATACGCACTTCACTTCGCATTTGCATTCGCCTGTCAAAATACAATTACACAGTACTGTAGGCCTACCTGAAAAAGTCTTTCACTGATGTTTGCTTTCTCTTTTTTCTGATGTAGGCCTACTACAGTCTAATACATATAGCTAGATATTAAAGAAAACATGTGTGGCCTAGTTAGTATCTCGCCAATGTGATGCGCGTAGCATCGTCCACGAGCCGCGTAGCGGCGAGGCGATTTCTCTCCAGTGTGCGTTTTTTTTTTTTTTTTTTTTTTTTTTTTGGCGGCCCAAGGGGGGGGGTTTAAACCCCCTAAACCCCCCCCCCCCCCCCCCCCCCCCCCCCCCCGTAGATCCGCGCCTGCTCAGGTAGACAAAGGAACATCCCTTCACTGCTATTATGTAAAAAGGTGAAGATGCATGTGACACCTGTTCTACACATTTTTACATAATAGCAGTGAAGGGATGTTCCTTTGTCTACCTGAGGAACTGTATATTTTGCCCGCCTTCTTTGTCGGTCATGTTCATAGTGAATGATGACGACGGTGATGATGATAATGGTGTTGTTGATGCTGAAGAAGATGAAGATAATAATAATAATAATGATGATCGTTTGTTTTCAGGTTCAGCCAATATCAGTGTGAAGCTAGATAACTCAGGATGGGCGTGTCTAGTTTGTGACAGACGGCTATTTATATGGAGATACAAGCAGACTCAGGCAGCAAGGGTAAATTATTCATGTCTTTCATAATTAGCTTTGTATTATTTTGCACTTTACACTAACTAGTTTACCAGTTCATCTCCCAGATAAGGAAATCAAAGTAGACCTTAAATTCACAACTTCCTTTGAAGTTTGCATAGAGATTAGTTTGTTTTTTTCCATTGGCAAATATGAACAAATGTGAATAATATCCGTTCATAACAGATGTTTTTCTTCCATTATTTTAATAATAATAGATATCCTTCATAACTTTTTTTCCACAATTTTTTGATAAGATGATTACTGAACATTTATTATTTACCTTTTATGTCATGAAAAGAGAAACAAAAATTTACAGAGTTGACAAATAATTGTATTGAATATGACACCTATGTTTCTCTTTTCAATATGTCCATAATAGATTGGGCTGTGTTACCAACTGGCGCTTCCAGCCACTGAGCTATGTCACCGAGCAGATCTGATATGCCTGATCCCGACTGGTGGAGGCAACAGCGGGGCCGACAGCCAGATGGTCTCTGTCCTGGCTGTGTCTCCAGAGGGCGTAGTTCGCTACTGGCCCACAGCCCACAGGGAGATTGCCTACTCGGAACGAAGTCTAGAGCTGGGCGGTCAGGAGTGCTTTACCCTGACGGCATTTGGGGTAAGTTGATTTGGACTGTAAAAAGAGTTTAGCACTGAAAATCAATTTGTATTTAAAAGAAATGTATGTAATATTGAATATGTGTTTGGACACTTGCAGAAGTAGTCATGTGTCTATATGATAAATTTTTTAATGTGGTATTTCGATTAAGGATAATTTTTAAAAAGAGGTAATTAGCAGTATTGAATTTTCTATTTCTTTATAAATGTTCATGGATTTTCCCTGTACATTTTCTCTTTCATAAACCAAAATAATTGTATTAATTTTTTTTTCCTGTGCTTGTTCTTGTAAGTATTTAATACCCTTGATTAGTCCTTTAAAATGTTCATTAATTTTGTAGGATGAAGAAACATTGTAAATTTGAAAACACAATTAAAGCATTCTGACCATAAGTAGATCAGTATGACAAAAGTTTGCCAAATGTGTGACTATTATAATAATAATAATAATAATAATAATAATAATAGCAATATCATCAACAATAACAAAAACAATGATGATGATAAAAATATGTCTTGTTTATCCAGGATAGCCTCATCACTATTAATACCGTTCTCCCTAAGGGCCCTGCAATCATATTATTACCCTGGCCTAATTATTCGTGTTCCTTTATTCTTCTTCAGAAACACCAGTGTATATTGGCAACGACTACAAATCAGTTGATGATGATCTCTGTATCACCATCAACCATGCAGGTATGGTTGGAGCAATCGAGCAGTTTTAATTCCTTCTTGAAAATATTACTTAATCATTAACACCTGAAATGCCCAGTTTATAAGTTATTATAATGGTAATAATGCAGATAATCAACTAGAATTTGATTTTTTTTCTTCAATTTTGATGTTCATTATTCCAAGTCCAATGTAATGAAGATGATTGATTTTTTGTTTACGTAACTGCTAAGAAAAGCAAGCATACGCTTCAGGCTTGTAGAAGATAAGCAACCAGGGAACTTACAGCTTTAAGTTCTATCCAAGGGACTTGGTAATAGGGGTTAATTTCTTACCCATAGGGACGTGTGCTTCGACTGGGTTTTGAACCCTGGACATCGTAGTTACAAGACCACTGCTCCACCACTTGGCCATCACTGCTAAATACTCAACATCATCTATTGAACTAGATTGAAGAACAATATCTTAATAGATGAATGTTGAAATGTGATTTTTTTTTTTTTTTAAATTTCAATTATTGTTTCTTTGTCTCTTTAGTTTGGATACATAAAACCCTCCAGAAGAAAATTGAAAATCACAATAAATGTACCTTACTCTTTTTTAAGTTCGGAGAGAAAAAAAGGTGTTAATCTACTCTGTGTATTACTGTAGTACAACATTCTTGTGTACACCTTTGCCCATACAGGTGGAATATTTTTTCTTCACCTCTTTTCATGACATGATTGTGGCAACATGGTTTACTCTTGATAGATAAAGTTTACCGTATATCTTCCCATTACTTCATCGATCAATCTCTTTGACTCTGTAGATTGATCAATAAGGTTTCAAGAAGATAAAAACTTCATCTATCTAGAATAAACCGTATTGTCACAATCAATTCAGGAAAAGAAGTAAACTGTTGAAGGAAAATGATTCCAAATTAATGGCAACAGTGTAGATTTACCAGCCGCAGCATGGAAAGGGTTAAATCGTTCATAACCTGTAAAGTGGCTCCTTGTCCAGCAATGTACAATACATGTGCTATCTTAGACTTGTACTTAAAATTGTAGGCAATTTTTATAGCCCAATAATATTCTTAATTCTTTCAGTCCCAAGTGGAAGTCCACACACTAAAGTCCAGTCAGGGGATGATAGCGAGAGTGTCTTCATTTCTCTTTGGAGCCCAGAAAGATGAAACATCCGTGAGTATCTTGGTACTTTGATTTATTCATGAAAAGGAGGCCTACAAAATAAATCAGGAATACTCTTTGATACAGATTGAACAATCAGTAGACCCTGTTTGTTCTGGAGCATTCATTGTTAGAGCTACCATACTAAGGTAGATATAAAACCAAGAAAATTATATGAAATTGAATAGGAGTGTCGTGGTCGAGTGGTTTAAGGCGCTTGACTGTAGATGCGAAGGTCAAGGGTTCGAATCCCGACATGGCGCTAATTTCCTTTGGCAAGATATTTACCTGCCCTTGCTACTCTTCACCCAGGTGTTAAATGGGTACCCGGTAGGATGCGACCGCCATTGTTGGTCAAACAGTTTTTGAGCGTCAAGTAACGCCTGGCTGGAATGCTCCCCAGGGAGTGGAGAGTGTTGAATCCAATGACCGGGGTAATAGTATATCTGTCAAGAGCTTAGAGACATCATAGATGTATGAAGCGCTATATAAAAGCGGAATTATTATTATAAACACACTGCTCTTCTAAAGTGAGCACCATCTCATTTTATTCATGTCTGCATGCCTGTCTGTCTGTCTGTATGTATGTATTACATTAACAGAAAAAGTATAATTTTGCTATAAAAGCATGTACAATTCAGCCTCAAAGCTTGCACCCATGTCTAAGGAACGACAATGGAATAAACCAGGGGGGTGTTTCACAAAGCCTTTTTTCATTGACAAATGACAAAAATCAGTGACAAATCTGCTGATAACCAATCAGAAGCAAGGATTTCACTAGCTTATAAGAAATATTGTCATTTGTCACTGATGACAAGTTTTGTGAAATACCCCCCAGTTGTGAATTGAACTGAAGTGCATGGAATGATCTCCTTACAGGGTCTAAGACGGGTTCTTGCCGGTTCCGCTGAGTCTGCAGGATACCCTCTCTACATCCTCCAAGACTCCATCCTTCAGAAGTGGTTCATATCGGGACCTGGACAGGAACAGGTAAGGAATACTAGATATCTCACAATATTCATAAGTAATCCCATCTGTAGCCCATGAGAACAACGATCAACTAAACCGAGCCTCCATGAAAATAACAGCCACCACACCAATATTGTCTCCAAAACCTGATGACAGTTATTCCACCCTTAATATTAAATATTTGCCGTCACCTGTGCCTGGGAGGCAAAAGCCAACTGAATCACTGTAACCCTCGGGTCTCTCCTCCCAGAATAACTGATTGGGGGACCACTACACCAGGGTTTCCCCCTACTCTTATACAAAAAGTGCAGTGGGTTCTTAACGTGCAAAGGTGGTGACTCTCCTCTACATGGGGCCGCCATTTAACGTCCTATCCGAGGGACGGAGTGTTTCCACTTAGCATAGCCTGCGTCAAGATTGATTTTTGCCACTTCTACTTGTAGCACAGATATACCTCATGTAAGTTCTGGAATGGAGTGTAATAATTACAATACTGATGTGGATTAATGATGCTCACATAAACAAGTTGGAGTAAAATTCATCTACTACTGACTATATTAATATTGGAAAAACACTGATCACTTCTTTCTTGTTTATATTTTATGCTATAACCAACAGGTTGTCTATGAGAAGCAGTTGGATGGCCTTTTCAAGCAACAATTCCAAAGAGAAATGGTGAGAAATAAGTGACATTATCTTATTTCTATTCTTTGTTTACTCCGTGTTCAAAATTAGCTTTGATCAGCTTCTTATCGTTTACATATACATTTATTTCCATGCAATTTGTATCATTAGCTGAGATTACCTTATTTATGGAAAATAATTAATTTTTAAACGACAAAAGAAAAGCATTTTATTAATATGTTGCCACATGATTGTTGGAGTTTACGGTATTTGTTTTTTTAAGTAATGGAAGTATGTGATGATATTTGAATATTATTTATTGTTCAAACAAAGAAACTTCTTCATATGCTGTTTTGTGCATAACATATTAGGTGTTTTGGGTGGAAATTTAATAATTCAGTGTGAGCTGTAGCAAATGTCAATTTGATTTAATTTTGTCTTAATCCCAGGGTGCATCTTCCATGGAAAACATCAAAGTGTGGCTACTTGATATTCAGCTTATCTCCAAGTGAGTAACAATGACCGGGGTAATAATATACTTATCTGTAAAGCGCTTTGAGAGGGCCTCCGGTCCTGAAAAGCGCTATATAAGAACGAGCTATTATTATTATTATTATTTGATTCCAATTTTTGAACTATCATTTTGACTTGAATAACTGATGTGATAGCATTTTAAGCCGATTACTGTGCCTGTAAAAAATATTTAGATGACAGGCCTATTTAGATAGAACATGTGTGCTATTGGAATAAGATTGTACTAGTCTCTCATTCCTAAGAGTATACAATTTGTGTATGCATTTCATCCATACAGTGCAGATCTTCATGTCAACGTACATGTAGGTAAATTCTACAATCTATTATGCAGCAAATATCACTCAAGGAAATAATAATGATAATGATACATGGTACTTATAAAGCACTTTTAACAATTTTTTCATAGCATTGTGAAAAATAACTATTAGCAGTCACCTCAGAATCTACCGGTATGTAAATTTTCAGCTGTTTGTTTTCTTACAGTATCGCAGTCATTCTGGCAGGAGCAGTAAACACATCATCACCGAACCAGAGGATTAAAATCGCCATTGGTAAGACTTCAAAGTTGATTTGTGTATCTCCTAATAGTTTGTGAATATGAATGTGCAGTCATGTTTTTCAAATGCTTTTGAGAAGAAAAAAAATTCTTGTAGCTGGAGAAGCATGATTAAAAATATTTTATAATAATGATTATACATGTAAAAGTAATATTTGTATATCACTTCTAATTTTCTTATGTTGTAATCAATAATAATTGATAATAATAATAGTATTCTGCGTTTATATAGCGCTTATTAAATCCCTTATCGTAAGATTGTTGCATTAGGTGTGTACACAACAAGAAAAAGAATAGTTTTACTGTAAAAGACGTTTCCTGCCGACTAGATCAAAATAGTTCATTTTTATTGATGACGTCACGCATAGTACCTTTTTTTCCCTAGGGAAAAAAGGTACTATGCGTGATGTCACAATAAAAAAATGCATATTCTTGAACTATGCGTTTTCCCGGCGAGCGCGTACATGATTTCAAAGTGCCTCTGCGCGGTCAACCCCTGCGGTGTCACGGCGCTCAAGCCATATGCAATTTACGCTGTGCGATAACTGCACTACACTAGCGCCAGCTAAACATTTTTACATCCTTCAATGTTTCATTTGAGCCGTGAAATTTTCTTTATTTCTTTTCGATCTGAATGTAGATGTGAATGTGAGTATAAGGTTCATGTTATTACAGAAGTGTACAAGGAATAATACAGATGGAAGGGATATAAAACAAATATAAAATGACTCATTCTCGGAACAAGCTAAAACTATTCGCACTCAGGAACATCATTAGTACTTTTCTCCCGAGGGCCGATGGCCCTCGGGAGAATAGTACTAGTTGATGTTCCTTCGATGCGAATAGTTTCAGCTAGATCCTCGAGTGTCATTGTATATTTGTATAATATATTGGTGATGTCTCTAGTCACTCTAACAATTTAATATTACCCTGGCCATTGGATTCAGGCTTGCTTAAACACAATTGTCCACTCCCTGGGGAGCATCCCAGCCAGGCGCCATTTTACAGATGCTCACAATGCTGGGCACACTACGGTGACATTCACATCGTACCGGGTATCGATTTAACAACTTGGAGGGGGTGACAAGTGTGGATTACCGTAATGTCTCGCCAAAGGGCGTTTGTGCCTGACTTGGATTTGAACCCTCAACTCTTGGATTGAGAGTCAAGTGAATGAACCACTACACCATGAAACATCCACGTTAATTAATAATATTAGGTTGATTCTGTGAATGTCTCCTGTACGACATGTATTCTTTTTCATTTGTGCAATATCAGCATTCTAAAAATCAGTTGATATAACCATTTGTAATGGTTTTTAAACACGTGGAATGAAACCATGGATATGATTTGATTTGGTGTAACATTTACTCTTTAGTTATCTCTAGTTTAGTTGACAATGAATTAATAATCATTAATACCAACTAACTGTGAATTTACTTGTGTACTTTAACACAGCAACACTGAAGGTTCAAGTCGACACGGACACACCAACGAAACTTGAAAGCTTTGTTGTCGCATCCACCCCTCCACAGGTTGGTATTAATCTTTTCTATATTCTGATAAATCTAAAATTGATACGGCATTTTTTTTTTACCGTAGGGATTTAGTGTTTTGGATGTGGGAATGTACTTATTTCATAATAGTTTTGTTTACTCAGGGAAGCCTCATCAGCATCGGTGTTGTTCCTCCTTAGGGCCATGCATTTATCATTACCCCCAACAATTGCCAGGTGCCTATTTACACCTGGGTGGAGAGTGGCGAAAATGGATTATTGTCTAAACTTGGATTTGAACCCTCAAATTTCGGAATGAGTGTCAAGTGAATTACCACTAAACCATGACACCTCTGCTTTGAGTCACTGCGAGACCAAGGCTCTTGCACAAATTGAAAGTCTTGAGGTTTTATGATCAGCAAGGCCCTGGTAAAACTGGGCAGTTTATGAAGTGGGCAATCGTTTCTTGAGTCCCTGCATTTTTTTTCCCTTCACATTGTAGGATGTTCTGCAATAATATTCATACACACTTAAGCTGTGCAGGGCTAGATGGTTTAGTATTCACTGTGCACAATTCCTGAAGTTCTTGATATTTTGCATGGTAAATACATGATCAGCAGGCCCTGAGCATCTGATGTGTGCAAGAACATTACTGCGGAATGTCCTTAAGGCCCTGCAACATATTGCATAGAGTATTTTTCTTTGAATTATGTAGAAAAGGGTAATACAGACTCTTAAGAGTCACTAAAAAATAAATACATGCATAGAGTTATTGTCTTGATAAATTTATGTATCACATTTAAAAAGACAATGAATTCATTTCTTCTTGAAAATTAGCTGTTTAAAATACATTTAGGAAATTAAGCGCATCTTCTTCGCTCCTTGCAGGATTCTGATGATGAGGGTGCCCTAGATAAGCATCTCCTGCTTGCCAATCCTGGAGGCCCACACTGCTACATCTACTCACAACACTCTATCGTATGCTGCTCAGGTGAGAACCATCAGCAGGGTCGGGGTCTTCTCCTGCGTGGGGGCTACAGCCCACGGGACCGACAGCCTACAAGCGCCTTCTGACAACTGTTCAGGGGGTTCACCAGACTGACATTTTGGCCCGAATTCACAAAGGAGGTTTAAAATATAACTCATGGTTTAAACCCTCATTTACATATTCCATATTCTAAAATTATCACAAAATAAGCGCGAAACAGTCAGATGTCCAATATTAAACGCTGGCAAGGCAAGGTAAGGTCTGCGCTAATTTTTAAATCATGGTTTAGGTAAATGAGGGTTAAGCTAAACCTCCTTTGTGAGTTTGGGCCTTTTGATCTTGTGGACTGTTGGTCTACATGGAGGCTGTTCACACCGCAATGAGATTTTTTCTAGCGCGTGCTAGACCGCGCTATCTCTCGTGGACCACCCCCAAGAGGTGCTCCAGTGGCACGCCGTTTTGGCTCGATGTGGCTCGCTGTTGGGCGGACCGAAACGACGTTGTACCTTCCAAACCGCAGAGATAGCGCGGTCTAGCGCGCGCTATCTCTGCTGGTGTGAACAGCCTCTTAGATGTCCAGGGTGAAGGGTGTCTTTGCACTATTCCGAGCAATAGCGTGACACAGGTTCTGGCACTCCAGTTTACTACTTGGAGATTTTGTGTTTTAAGGGCTCAGGTAGCAGGAGGAAGGTTGGAAGGTGTATCATTATTTGCAGAACCCCCTACACCCCCCATACACACACACACACACACACACACAACACACCAAATTCACATTCAGTTTTACCAGCAAGGTTGTACACCCAATTCTGCAACCAACCCCTGAGTTGAGTTTATAAAACTTGTCATTGATAACAAATTGCAAGGATTTACATACAGCTATAGAAAATATGGGCACTTGATAACAAAATAGGAATTATTTTTTCAAAAAATGCTTAACTACTCCGGACCTAACCATTTTGTCCAAAAAGTGGGGTTTTTCAAATATTTACAAGATTTGTCCCTATGCCCCTACAGAAGTGCAACGGGGGTCATACTCCATCTCATAACATATAGGGACATTAATTGTGAAGAAACTATGCTATTGAATTATTTTCACTTTTTATCTCAAGAAATGCTTAACCACTCCGGACCTTACCATTTTGTCCAAAAAGTGGGGTTTTTGAATTATTTACAAAATTTGTCCCTATGCCCCTACAGAAGCACAACAGGGGTCATACTCCATCTCATGACATATAGGGATATTAATTGTGAGGAAACTATGATATTGAATCATTTTCACTTTTTATCTCAAAAAATTCTTAACCACTCCGGACCTTACCATTTTGTCCAAAAAGTGGGGTTTTTCAAATATTTACAAAATTTGTCCCTATGCCCCTACAGAAGCACAACGGGGGTCATACTCCATCTCATAACATATAGGGACATTAATTGTGAGAAAACTATGCTATTGAATTATTTTCACTTTTTATCTCAAAAAATGCTTAACCACTCCGGACCTAACCATTTTGTCCAAAAAGTGGGGTTTTTCAAATATTTACAAAATTTGTCCCTATGCCCCTACAGAAGCACAACGGGGGTCATACTCCATCTCATAACATATAGGGACATTAATTGTGAGAAAACTATGCTATTGAATTATTTTCACTTTTTATCTCAAAAAATGCTTAACCACTCCGGACCTAACCATTTTGTCCAAAAAGTGGGGTTTTTCAAATATTTACAAGATTTGTCCCTATGCCCCTACAGAAGCACAACGAGGGTCATACTCCATCTCATGACATATAGGGACATTAATTGTGAGGAAACTATGCTATTGAATTATTTTCACTTTTTATCTCAAAAAATGCTTAACCACTCCGGACCTTACCATTTTGTCCAAAAAGTGGGGTTTTTCAAATATTTACAAGATTTGTCCCTATGCTCAAAATTTATAGCACTTTTGAACTTATGTATTTATTTTAGTATTGTATTTCAAATATTTCATTCTAGGATTGTTTGACCAGATGCCATCTTTCCAGGAGGTGGGGTTCTCCAAGGCAGGCGACTCTATCAGGGGTGCAGGTAGGCTAACACTCTCTTCAGTTAACTTCGGAATGCTTGTTTTCAGAACTAAAGCAGGCCTGATATTAATCCAATTTAATTTGGTTTCACTATTGATTTTTTTTCCTGATTTTTTCTGACTTTATCCCTATTTTGCCTGATTTTCCCCTTATTTTCTCAATTTTTTCCAATTTTTCCCGATTTTTTCCCAATTTTGTTACTCAAAAGGGGGGAATGTTGCTAGATGCCTCCCTCCCCCCCCCCCCCCCGAATCCTCTCTTCTTCTTTTTTTTACTCAAGGGGGGCAGGGTTTTTTTTTTAGTGCTCACTATCACCCCTGCTAAAGTTAATCAGCAACAAAATGGCCTATATGATTTGCTTTTGTTTATATAGAGTCTTGTGAGGAGAATTAACATTGTAGATAACATTAGGTTATCTAGTTACACTGTTTACAATGTGAACCAGTCCTGTTGTTTGTTGATGTTGGTAAACAAGAATTTGTATGATAATCCCTTCAAATTTTTCAGATTTTCCAGCAAATTCGTCACTTTTAGCTAAATTTACAAATGTTAGAAGAGCAGTAAATCAAACAGATTTTACCAATTGGATACTTGCCGCCAAGCTCATAAGGTTTTTCTTTTGAACCATTGCACGAGGATAACTTCAACGGGAAGATTTTGTATGCAGAGAATACCAGTTTGCATCTATGGCACTCCCGATATTCATTTCTTTTTATTTGTCAATCAGGTTGCTTTGATGGCCAAGCTATTTTCTTCTCCAGCAATCACGGGGTTATCACTGTCAATACATCGCAATCAGAAATGCCAAGGTAAGGTGATATCAGGTAGTTACGGACTTGTGAATTTAATTACTCATTGTTCCTAAGTATCATTTGAGGTGTCCACACTTGTACAAGCATTGCTTTTTAGTGGACCCCTCCGTTTCCAATATGTACTCCTAAATTGTTGTAAATGTTTATAATTGATTTGTAATGTTTTTGTTGGAAACATAAATAATTTGAAGTTGATATTGAAATTAAAATTAGGTAGTGTCTTAGCACAGACCCCTACATGTATCTGTCATAATAAAGGGTATAGATAGACTTAGGCATCGTAATGTATTCAACAATGGGTGTTGAAACAATAATCATATTTCATTTATACTGTGTTTTAGGCCACCTAGATAGAAGATAGATGAGTAGATAAATGGAAGGAAAGGTGGAGAGGTTTTGGATAAAATGATACCTACACAGTGGCATGCAGATTGGCAGATTATGTGATAGATAGATAGACAGACAAACAAACAGACAGACAGACAGACAGACAAACAGACAGACAGACAAACAGACAGACAGACAGACAGACAAACAGACAGACAAACAGACAGACAAACAGACAGACAAACAGACAGACAGACAGACAGACAGACAGAGAGAGAGAGATACGTGAAGATTGATGGATGGTTATTAGGTAGAAAAGTGAATGAATGTCTAAAAATGAATGGTTGATTGACTGGTAAGAGATATCAGATTCAAAGCTAAATCAGTATTTAAATAAATAGTTGAATGTACAGCTAAATAGGCCTAAATATATAGGCCTATATAGGCCCTATATAATATGATGAAAGAAAGACGTTCATATTTCAATTTGTTCTATTTTTATGCATTGATACTAACAAAAAGCCCACTTTAATGTTTGCTTACAAATAATGATAATGACTTTGTGATAAGATTTGTATAACAATTTACTTGAATGGATTGGAAATTCGGTTACAGGAGCGCCTCTGTGCGATGTGTCTCAATTTAGTGTTTCTGTGTTTCTGAGTGGTCTAGGCACCGTGCGTTACAAAATAAAAAGATCAATGCGCACGCACGCCGAGTAGCCGAGAAGCCCGTTTCAAATCGGGGGCAAAGCTAGTTTTCATGCATCGAAACCGGGCTGACCAGATTAAACTAAAAAGCAGAAACACGAAGTTGAAAACCATCCAGAGACTCTGAATAAATTGCGTTACTTATTAATTAATTATTTCATTACAAATCTTTATTCTCAGTTTTCTTATGAAGACTATAACTGATTTTCTTATAAAATTGAAGATATTTATGGCGTATATATTCATTACTGAATGAACGCCATTAAACATTTACCAACAACAACAACAACAGCTAAATAGTGGGATAAAAAGATGTTGAATAGGGTCATACAAATTCTGTTAAATAGGGTTGGGATAATTACCTTTGCTTAGACAGCTTACATTTTATCGGAGTACAATTATGTGGACAATTCGGAAAGGCTTCCAAATGCAAGTTTAATGTAACTGCCAAATAAATGTGACAGGGTTCACTAAACCTGTACAAATTGGCTGTCAATTTTATAGTCACTTTATCATTATTTTTGTTTAGTTTCATTATGGATGACAGCAGAACAGGGCAAACTTCAAGACTAGAGGTAAATATCAAAACAATTCAAAGATACAATTCAGTATTTTAAATTGCATTATACAAAATCAGTTTCCGGTAACATTAAACAGACATGTGGCCAACAAAATGATTTTAAGAACAAACACCAAGTAAAAAATCAAGTGCTTTAGAATTTTATTGTATCTAATTAAAGTGTTTTCTACATTTAACATTTGCCAATGGGACATTTTAAAATGCTTTACTTGTAAACTTAAATATATATCACAAGAGAGAGATATCTTTAGAGATAAACTCACTTTAATCATAATAATTTGACTTAAAACTGTGCATTACATAAATTGCATCATTAAGATATATTTAAGAATTTTCAGCTGTACAACACGCCTTTCAAAAATGTCTGAAGTAAATATTAATCTTGTCAGATGTACAAAAAGTGGGAAGAATTATTTCAGTATTACTTTTTCCTCTTAGTATTATTCTAGTAATTAGCCTCTCTAAGTATGGAAATCTGTACTAAAAGTGATTTTTTTTTTTAAATATTTTTTTTATCAAAAAACACAAAATTTCAAATGTTGTTGCTATATACACTGTTGGTCATAATGGTGGAATAATTATTTTTGCCCCAATTTATGGAATGATTTTGACAATGATTTATTCCTAATATATCGAAATAATAATATGCATTCTCAGATTTTATTGAATAATAATTTGCGAGTGTTTGTTTTGCGTGATTGCTAAAGCATGTGTGTGCTACTATGCTAATCACCTAGGGGACCTACGTCCTTAAGTCATAAATGACAGTAATGAGGATTAATGCCCCATAAAAGGGCCCTAATATAGCACATCGACACGGTATTGACAACAGTGTACTATTTATTGTAATAAAGGAAATGCCTATATTAATTTGAAGTTAACAGTTGTATGTATTCCCCATCCCTTATTAACATCATGCATGTCTTGTATTGACAGCATAGGATACACATTACTGGATTTGAGCACCGTACCAAACGGGTAACATTCTTGGTTCCCATTTGTGTCATATTTGCTTCAAATTTTCCTGAAATCATTTAATTTTTTCTTCTTTGCATCATGTTCTGTTTGCATTCAAGGATTTCACTATTTTGGATCAATTTTTCTTGTACTTTCATTGAAATTGTTGTCATTTGAAATCCTTAAAAACATGTTATTTTCAAAATTTATTGTTTAGTTTTAAATCTTTTAAACAGAATTTGATATTTTATTCCACTCTCCAGATGAAATTATTGCTTGGCCATATTTCATCTTCTCATTATTGACTAAGATTCAACAAATATAGCATTTTACCAGAAGCATTGGGGGTTTTTTTTGTTGGTTTTTCGTTCTTCTTCGTATTCCAGAATCTCTGCTTACTAGTTTCTAATAGTTTCTAATCACCAAGTTTAAAGGGTTTGAAGGGGGGGGGGGGGGGAGTTATAATTGTTACATAAGGGGCTCAATATGAATTTCATATCACCTACAGTATTGCTCGTCATAAAGTAGACACTCTCACACTGTGTCACGTGTGACTGCTTGTATTTGACCCCGTTCTCACTCACTTCGTTGGAGCGCTCTGGAGCGCTCTAACTAAGACCCGTTCCTCAGGAGCGGTTCTTAGGTGAGTGAGAACGGTCAAAGTGGTCCAGGAAGTGGACTTCTGGACCGCTCCAGAAGACCACCTTCCGAGGTGGTCTTGAGGAGCGGGTCTTATTAAGAGCGGTTTGGAGCGCTCTAACGTGCAATGTGAACGGATAGCGTACTTTGAACGGAAGTGAGCTAGTGACCTTCGGTGCGAAACATGTAGTATGGTACATACGGTTTGTATTCCGCGCACGAAATAATTGACCTGCTGACCTGAGCTGCCATAGCAACAAGACCACTTTGACTCGTGGAGCGGTTTGAGCCATAAAAAACTGCTCTGAGTGTGAACGCTCACAAACCGTTCCTCAAGACCCGTTCCTCTGGAGCGGTCTAACTAAGACCACTTTCAAAGTGAGTGAGAACGGGGTCTTATTCCTTAGACTTTGGTGTGACTCGGGGTGAGGGTGTCTACTTTATATCAAGCAATAATGTATATTTATAGACTTTTTATTTAGAAATTATTTAAAAAGTAATAATTTCCTTTTGTCTTTCTGTTTACTTCCTACAATTTTCTTGAAATCATATATATATATTCATTTTTTTAGTCAGGATTTTTTTTTTTAATTGTTAAACTGTAATGCACACCTTAAATCTGGGTCAATATCATTGCTAGTTCATGCAGGGGGAGAAAGCTTCTTTTTCCACAAAAACCTACTACTCCTTTCTTCTATTTTGCTTTTTGATATGCACATTTGCCATCAACATCATCTCCATAATTTCATTAAGGCTAGAAGTTGAAAGCTTAAGAATATAAATAGCAATGCCATCCTAGAATTATGAACAATAAAAGGGAAGATTGACAATTTATTTGCAAATGATAATAAAGTAAATCTGATTGTTCTTTTTGTCTCATCTAATAATGTACAGTGTTTCTTTGGGGAAAAAATACACATTCATTGTTGTAAGCAAACTGCATCAAGCCATCTCCATACATATTCGCGTAATCCTTTCTTGGTAGTGTAATTGCTTAGCTAAACATCAGAATTGTCAAAATTGTGGGGGAAAAAATCAATCACAATATGTGTTTAAGCAATAAATGTTAACCCATCTGGTGCATAAACAGTATGTATACTGCAGCTATAAGGTAAAGAGAAGAAGCAATAAAGTGCATAATATTTTATATTTTTAAAGACAGATTATGAATGAATTTTGCAGTGACAAACTTTTTTCAATACAGAATCGAACTTGTAAAATCCCATCAATTTGACTTGAGATATTATTTGGCAAGATTTATATATACTTTTTCATTTTTAGTTTTGTTACTTTTAATTTGATTTTTTTGCACACTGTATGATTTCAATGTACAGATTGTTTAGGAAGATATGGGCTGCGCGGTTAAAGCGCTGAAGGTTAAAGCTACTATGTAAAGGAAACATGAACAAATTCTTCTGTTCTTTCTCAAAGCAATCCATGCAGCAGCAATCCATGCAACAGCAATCCATGCAGCAGTCTTCCTTCACCACGCCGTCCGCTAGGAGTCGACCCTTTCAGGTCATGTCAGCATCCAGGTCGCGACCTGACACGTCCATCCTGGAGACGACAGGAGACTTAGAGGAGGATAAGACGAATGGACTCAAGATGGCCTTCCTACACTCGTGCAAGCATGACATGGTGAGAGGTCAAAGGTCACATGGACAAAATAATATTATTGATAATGATCTTTTTTACCCAGGTAAGCTCTATCAGCTTCATTGTAATAAAAATGGAGATAAGACTTTTGAATTGATTGTAGACAATTTTTATGTTACAGGACACACAACTGTCCAATTCTGGGATACTTAGGGCATAGGAAATGTCACAAGTAAACTTTGTGTTTGAGATTGAGTGGTCTTGAATAATAACAGAGGTAGAAACACTACTCAGAACTTTGTTTACGTTTTATTTCCTTGTTGTGCAGAATAAGGCAGAGAACTTAGTCCAGGACCTTTTCCTCCAAGACACATTTGAGAGAGGCAAGACCAACTCGTCCCTGGACCAGGCAGTGGCTAAACTGAGTCGGGAACTCATCGATGATTTTCCAGCTTCGGATCCAAGATGGGCGGAGTCTCTCCCTCAAGGTGAATGTGTAAACCCTTCTTTGCTGTGGGCAGCAATTCATGCCCAAGAATTTAAGTGTTGAACATTATGTTTGCATTTACTCATAGCATTTCAGAGTTTGCCATAGGTCAAAATGAATCAAATGATAATGACACATTATGTTTTCGGGTTGTCTGTCCGTCTGTACGTCCCTATCTCGTGACTACATATATATGTGACAAATAGCTTGTAATCACAATATTTTGAGAATCCGTTAATGGATTACAATCAAACTCTGAAAAATTGCTTCAGTTTGGGTTTGTTGAATCACTCTTTGGCGGAGGCATCATTTGCGACTGTGCACGGTCGAAGAGCCATCTAGTGTTATCCTCGAATTGGCAAGAATTATTTCTGTTTTCTACTCATTCATAGTTCCATTTATCAACATTTGCCACTCAATACCCAGGAGAGAAATAGGTACCTGGTAGGATAATGGAAGCCTTTGGGATAGAGTAATAGACATACACCCTTGCGTGACCATATGGTAAGATAACTCTCCGGGGAGTGGAAATGTTGCACACTGTGCCATTGATTCTGATGACAGGGTAACAATAATACCTGTAAAGAGCTTAGAGATGGTTTGCAGTAGTAAGTGATCTACAATTCCAGATTTATTATTATTATTATTATTATTATATTACTATGGTTATCTGCTTCCAGATTCTGTAGCATCCACTGGTTCCCTCATCCTCCTGCACCAGCTGGAAGACAAGATGAAAGCCCATGAGCATCTCGTCAAGTTCATCAAGGATGTCGGTATCTGGGACATGGTATGTAATGTAACGAGTAGTAGTAGTAGTAGTAGTAGTAGTAGTAGTAGTAGTAGTACAAGTATTTCGCGTCACCTGTGCCTCGGAAGAGAAATCAAACTGAATCACTGTGACCCTTGGGTCTCTCCTCCTGGGGGGGGGGGGGGGGGCATTTCACAAAACTTGTCATCAGTGACTAATGACAGTTTTTGTTATAGGCTACTGCAAAACCCTTGCTTCTAATTGGGGATGTGCAGGTGGACCACTACACTGGGGTTTCCCCCTACTTTTACACAAATAGTGCAGTGGGTTCTTAATGTGCAAAGGTGGTGACTCTCCTCTAAACAGGGCCTCCATTTAACATCCTATACAAGGGACTGAGTGTTTCCACTGTAACATAGCCTGCATCCATGAAACGGGAGGTGCATGTTAACACACAACCCATGCTTCAGTCATCCGCCTGGGTTAGATTCAAACCAACAATCTATTGTTTGACAGGCAGACACTTTACCAACAGAACAAACATGAAACCACACAGTGTTGCCACACAAGAGATTAGCTCTCAGCAACTCAAGTAAATAGATATTGTTCCCTTCTCAGATTAAACTAAACACTATCAAGTCTTGGTTATTATAGTAGTAGTAGTAATAGTTATTGTTGTGGCTGTTGCTGTTTTTGTAGTATTTTTTTTTCTTTATTGTGTTGTCATCTTTTTTCTTTTCATTTGTCTGTCTGTGTGTGTGTGTGTGTGTGTGTGTGTGTGCGAGGTTTATTCGGGCATTTTTTTTTAGTATTCTGAGCCCGGTGTGAGTGAACAGTGACGAAATGAACATAAAAACTGCTGAAGTTCAAGGTTTAAAAACAGGTATTTGATTGCAATTCTCTCCTCAGCTTCATTCAGTGATAGTAAGAGACCTACCGCAGACGACACACAACCTTCTCAGTGAGCATGCCGAGAAGCTCTCTGCTGCTAGAGCACTGTGTAACAAACATGTCAAGTAAGTGTGAGAGCTCTTAAGCCTCTTTCAGATACGATGCGGCAAAACCATGGTGGTTTGCTATGATGATGCAAAATATGACATGCTTCAAATTTTTGTATCTTTTAAAGCGGGACTGCACTACTTGTAGCTACTTGCCCCCTCTTTATAGCCAACAATGCCTAAGCAGTACCCATTGATCCTCCATGTTAGCCTTTTTCGTTTGTTAAGTGAGAGCTGTAAGTGCATTAAGTTTTATGTCATGTACACTAAAAAATCTGTAGTTTATTGTGCCATATGATGAGTGAGCCTTAGTTCTCACATTCTCTCTGTCTGTCTTCCTCACATTCCTCTTTCTTCTCTTCCTCCTCTCTCTCTCTCTCTTTCTCTTCTCCTCTCTCTCTCTCTTTCACTCTTAACTAGTGCGGTCCATGGACAAAATGCAGAGATTTCAAGAACAGACCCCTTTCTCCACAAACTTTGAAGCAGTCCTGCTTCCATTTTTTGAGCGTGAGTGAATACCTCAATATAAAAACCAAATCTCACTCACCCACATACACCCTCTCTCGTCCATTTTATAAACCAGATTCCAGGGACTGATAGACACAGCAGTATGTCGTGCCTTGAGGAAGAGGAAGCAAGATGCAGTCCCTTCCGGTCTTACCCCTAGAGACATCTTCTACAGAGAGGTACGTCATCTTATACACATCTATCTCATTTAAAGGAAAATCCAACCTTAAAGGTAAAGACCAGTTATGGTCATGCGATTGCATTGTGAAAGAAACGTTGTGGAATCGATCAGAAAAGGTTGATCATCTAGCATCTAGCATCTGCAAGGTTCTGGAATCATCAAAATGATAAGAAATTTGGCCCATTCTTCGTAAAGTTACAAGCACTATACACAGAAAGATGTATATGGGACTACCCTATATCTCTCACAGACCATGAGAGAAACAAATTTACCAAATATATGAATTAGTAGGCGGTTTCCCGGCAAATTTGTTATCATCATGTATTAGTCAAAACATATTCTTTCACATGATTGGTAATGAGAGCTTCCATTTCATTTTTTGAAATTGGGGCGTTTCCAATACTGGTCTTTACCTTTAATAGACAACCACTCTTAAAGAAAGTAGGAAAATCAGAGAAGCAGAGTGTTAAAGTTTGAATGAAAATCAACAAAGAATGAGAAAGTTATGAATTTCAAAAAGTTGTAATCAATGAACGTAAAGGCACTATCCAATTGGCTGTATTGGTAATGTCACTGATGTAGTGACGGACAACTTTCCCATTTGTCTCAACACACAAAATGACTAAAATCTCAATTTTTCTAAATGTAAAACTCATAAGGGTCTTTCCATTCCGTCATATAATTTGATCAGTGCCCTGAGGAAGAAGGCACTTAAGAGAAAAACAGATTTAATGATGTTTAAGTACACAATAAATAGGAGAATTGTCCGTGACTTAATCACAATCCACTGACGAAATTGCCAATTTTAGATTCAAATAGATTTAGTGACCTCATGTAGACTCCCTCTATTCGTCCGATTTAGCTTAACCTTATTATGAACTTATGACAAGTCAAGTGTTGTTTTTTTTCTTCTATTTTTCTTCCATTGCAGGTGTCTAAAATGGAAGATATTGTGGAAGCCTTGATGGAGGAAGAGCAGGATCTTCTATCAAGTGGACTTACTCCCCAGGACACAGTGAGTCTCATCTCTAGCATCAACACCATCATTCAGAGTGTCCTCCAAGAAGCCTGGCACCTCCACCAATCAAGGTCACTGGTCTACCAGTCTCACAACGAGGCCAGCGGGACCTCGTTGCCGTTCATTCCATGGATTGGTGAGTTGCAGAATTGAAGATACGAACATGTTTGTGTTTGAGTGTAACTTTTACTTTAGCTGTAATGCCCTGACATATTACTTAGCCATCTCAGTAATTTACTTGAAGGGTTGGTGCCTTACACAGAGGCACTAGCATACTGTCTTACTTTGACTTCTATACAGGGTGTCCCTGAAAGAAGAAACCAAATCTTCTTTGAATCACTCAATAATTTCACATTGTTATTTGGTTGATGTATACATGGTTGGTTTCAACTCCTTGTCCAAAATACGTAAGTGGATGTCTGCTAAGTTTATTCAATTTCTTGCACAATTTGCCTTTAAGCTTTGGTTTCTCTATTTCAAGGAATTACTGTATGGATCAGTTTCATAAACTAGTGTTTCTACGCATCCAAATTTTTTTTCCATCAGTCAAAGGCTTTTGTTTATCGTTCTTAATTTGTCCAAATAATAATGACTTATGTTGCAGTAAAACGTGATTAAATGGCTTTTTTTTTTTGGGGGGGGGGGTTAGATTATGGCTATTTTATGTTTTTTGTTAATTTTTATACTATCTTTGCAATAAAATGGTCACTCCATTCTATCCGTTCCTTCAACAGCCTCTTCTGGGCCAAGGGGCATACGTATGCAGCTTGTACAACAGGTAAGTGGAGTGTCCTTTCAATATCATCCATCAGCCCTTCTGATCTGCTATCCCATTTAGTTTCATATCTTAAGAGCCATTAGAGTCAGCATTGCCAAGCTTGGGCGATAGAGGCATTGTTATTCCTCTATTATGTGTGGCTAGAAGCTGTAAGATCATTCACTAATCATGCTAATCTCTCAGTACCTCCACTTTTAACACAAATTTAATTTGGGTTTGCAAAAATATTGAGAGTATCTTAGAGCCCCGCCGCACTAGTTTGGCCAGGAGGGATTAGACCTCCCTGCATGATCACTGACAGGTGGTTATCTCATCAAATAAGCTCTCAAATAACATAAGAAAAAGAGGATCATGGGGACCAATGGTCACGGATTAGGCATTGGTTGCTATATGGAGGGCGGAAGTTGCTATAAGTAGTGCAGTGGGCTTTAATACAAAAAAATGAATCCTCAGAGAGTATACTAGTTTTCAACAAGTTTAAGGAACAGCTTTAATATAGAGATTTTATGTTTTTGGATGCTCAGGGGGGTGTTTCACAAAGATCCTAAGTTGGATTTAAAAATTATGGAGAGCCATGTGTAGCCTTAAAATAAAAATATTCAAAAGTGAACATTCAAGTATTCCAGAACAAATCAATAACATAAAATCTCCTTGATAATAGAAAATAAGAATGATTTAATCCTTTTAATTACTTTAACAAAATATTTCATAGATGCTAATGGCTTTCCATAAATGTTAAGTCCAACTTCGAGATAAGTTCAACTTAGCATCTTTGTGAAACACCCCCCTGGCAATTAAAGCAGGCTGTGTATATAACATTTGCTTTTTTTTTAATGCAGCATAACCTGACGGTAGGCAGGGCCGTGGCTAACGCAGAGGACGCCCAGTCTCGCTCCGGTCTCTTCCAGCAGCTCCAGTCCATCACGGACCTCTTGCTGGAGGGCTACATCGCCCAGCTGGAATCTTCCATGCAGGCTGACGGGGAGGACAGCGTGCAGTATGCTGAGCTGGAGCAGAGGTATACCCAGGAGAGGACCACCCTCATCTCCCCATTCTGTAAGTGATGCATTCCACCGAGATGCCAACCAGTATGATTTTATCGTATTTAGTACGATAAAAAAGAGTGAAATACGATAATACGATATCGCCTCTTGAAATACAATTTTTCATCTTTATAAAAATCTTTCTCATTTAAATGTTAATGAAAGAGCGAACATTTTACTTGACCGTTCTTACCAGTAAAACAATTTTCAGCGAATTTCATATTTTACTCACTATTTTGTGAAATGCATTGATGTGATGACAACGGGCCAGTGGAAGTGTGGAGTTTTCATGAAAATCTGATTTTTCTCTCCAAAATTTTTCTTTTTAATTTTTTTTTTATAAAGGATATTCAGTCTCTTTTTTTGTGTCAAGAAGTTGGCATCTCTGATTCCATCCCTCCAAGATGTAGCTAGGTGTAGGCAATTCCATGTTAATTTTACTAAATATTTGAATGTGCTTATTATAGATATGAGGTTAAATTACCTAAAAGTGTTGCTATGATTAAATACCATGTAGCCCATTACTTTAACCAGTGTCCATTTTAATTTAGTCTTCAAGCTACCTATTTTTTGAGTTATCTTGATGGTTATCTGTGGCAACAGCATGTCTTGATCACATTATTCTGTTACCACATGGACACATCGTTCAATACTTATAAACAACAGATATATCATTGCAATAGAAAGCTTTGTACATGGTATTACATTTAATTAATAATCATTATTGCCAATTTTATATTGAATTGAGGTGCCGTGTAGATGTTTTACTTAAAATTGCACGCTTGTTTATTATATGTATTTTATAATAATTTTGAATGTAACAAATTTAATACCAATTGAATTTGACTGGATATATATATATATATTATATTTTTTTTTACGGATAATGCATTATACCACCACTCAATTTGGGTTTACTGTCTCTCTCTTTCTTTCAAAATCTTTCTCACTTTCAATTGTTGGACAATACGTTGATGTCAGTTGATATATGATTATTGGTCCTGTGAAGTCCTATGTACCTTTTAATTATGTTTAAATGCGATTGCTCTTGAGTGTTTTTTTTTTTTTTCTTCTTCTTTTCATATCTATGTATTTAAAGTGTCAATATATACAGTTTTATTGTACAAAGTATATATACATATAACTATATTGTGAACCATTTATATGCCTGCCTTTTTTACTGTATGAAATCCAACTTATGGTTGCAATAAATGAATGATTTAATTAATAAAATACTTGTCAACCGAACTATCAACTACAACACCTTATGCTTCTAGATCGATATCATAAATGAACTTGTACATTTGGATATTTTTCATTTATATTTTTCTTTGACTTGTCACCAGTGGAGCATAGACAGTTCGAGAGAGCAGCTGTGCTTGCTGAGAAGTACTGTGACTTTGGCATCCTCGTTGAGCTTTGCGAGTCTGGAACGGGCCGCAAGGACAGACTCCAGTACTACATGGATCAGTTCTCAAATAAGGTATTTCAGGATCCATGTTTATCATTAAGTTGATTTAATTTTGGCATCCTTGTTGAGCTTTGCGAGTCTGGAACGGGCCGCAAGGACAGACTCCAATACTACATGGATCAGTTCTCAAATAAGGTATTTTGTGATCCATGTTTCTCATTAAGTTGATTTAATTTTGGCATCCTTTTTAAACTATTCGAATCTGGAACAAGCCGCAAGGACAGACTCCAATACTATATGGATCAGTTCTCAAATAAGGTATTTCAGGATCCATGTTTATCATTAAGTTGATTTAATTTTTGCATCCTTGTTGAGCTATGCGAGTCTGGAACAGGCCGCAAGGACAGACTCCAATACCACATGGATCAGTTCTCAAATAAGGTATTTTGTGATCCATGTTTCTCATTAAGTTGATTTAATTTTTGCATCCTTGTTGAGCTTTGCGAGTCTGGAACAGGCCGCAAGGACAGGCTCCAATACTGCATGGATCAGTTCTCAAATAAGGTATTTTGTGATTCATGTTTCTCATCAAGTTGATTTAATTTTGGCATCCTTGTTGAGCTCTGCGAGTCTGGAACAGGCCGCAAGGACAGACTCCAATACTATATGGATCAGTTCTCAAATAAGGTATTTTGAGATCCATGTTTCTCATTAAGTTGATTTAATTTTTGCATCCTTGTCGAGCTCCGCGAGTCTGGAACAGGCCGCAAGGACAGACTCCAATACCACATGGATCAGTTCTCAAATAAGGTATTTTGTGATCCGTTCATCTTATCAAGTTGGATTTCATTATGAAGATGTTCCTTGTCTTTTCATACTATATCTCTATGTTTATAAACATGTTTGTAAGAGAGTCAAGAAGTTAAGTAATCTGGTTTATTCTCGCTAATATATAATATTATTGACATAATATATTATTTATAATTGTACAATGTTGTTTCCTTTTTAACAGATGGTTTAAATCTCATGGTGCCAGTCAAGTTGATTTTGTCTCATCTCTTTCCTCAATCTTTCAGTTGCTATTAATTCTCCCAATTTTCTTAATAATTGATTGATCTTGCTGTCATCCCCCTTGATATTAATTCCAAAATCATTTAGTCCTAGAGGACAAAATTATTTCAGTTATTGTTTACAAAGCATGTTTTAGTTTATTGTTAAACTCGATCTTCCCTTTCACACCCTAATCATGTTTTATATTATCTGTAAGCCTCTTCTTTTAAATGGCTAGGTATCTTTGCCATAGGCTATACTATCAAAATGCTTGTTTACATAAAACTTTACATCATATTTTCTTTTTCTTTGTAACTCATGTATGGATATGTATACAAAATCAACTGTTTAATTGTTGTTACTTTGTTACCCACTGAGATACATTTGTAACATTGTGTTATGTTTTAATAAATTAAATTAAAAAACTAATTTTCAACCCTTTCTTACAGGGCTTCTCTGACTTTGTTTTCAAGTACTACATTGACAGAGGTGAGTTCAATGGATTACATTTTTATATTCTTGTAGTAAATTAAACATGATTAAAAGGGATGCTTTGTTATGTTATGTCAGGTGCATCAAAGGACTATAAATGGTTCTTCCTCTCACCTTAATGTATGCTATGACACATGTGTATGATATGATATGTAATGTAATGTATGATACGTCATCCATTTTGTATATAAGACTTGACACTTTTTCTTTTTTTGTATGTCCGTGCCAAAGGTCAACGTGGGAAACTGCTGACCCATTTTGCCCATCGTCCAGAGCTGAGTGAATTCTTACAACCACATGACCACTTGGGATGGCTACAGGATATCCACACCAACAACTACTCGCAGGTCAGTAACGTTTGTTCTTGCGTCAGAACACTTTACTCATTTCGTTCACTTTATCAGTCAATATTGTTTTGCATATATTCAGTCAGTTTTTGTTTTCTCTTGCTCTCTCTATCTCTCGCTCTCTGTCTCTGAGAATATGGACTGGTTTAATAAGCGAGTTCGTAATTTGGATTTGCGCATGGGCAGATAAAGGTCATTCGTACCCAAATTGTAAAACCATTGAGACGAATACTCGGATCGTGCTCATGAAAGTTATGTAATCAGTATTCATTTATGCACCAACAGTACATTTATCTGATACACAGGTAGAAGTATTCTTCTCAAGAGGCAAACAAAAGGTACTCATGAAGCACCTCCATCCCTTTGGCAGTGATAAAATGCACATGTGGGACGTATCCATCATGTAAAACATCTGTGGATATTTGGGGGTCATGCGTTCCAGAGCTATTTACGAACTCGCTTATTGTTGAGGTGATATTTTGATTCTGCACCTTATGTTTGGAATGTTCTTTTATTCATACAGCATATCTATCTTTTTTTCTTTACAGGCCCAGGACACATTGAGAAAACTTGCAACTAGAGAATCCTTCTCAGTCTCAAAGAAGAAGGTATTAACCAGCTGATTAAATTCCTTGAAAAGTAGTAAATATTCAAGATATGATGTTGGGATTATAACTATGTTTATCACTGTAATAGTATATATACCATACAATTAGTTATCTTAAAATATATTCATGTTTGTTTTGTTATAATGTTAGTTGCTCATGTTATTATCTTAAATTGTACTAACTCTTGATTAGTATAACTTTTTCATGTGTAATATGTTTCATATTTTGCTTCAACAATGCATATAGAAACTTATATGTTTACTAGCACTCTAAGAATATAGCATTATTATTATTATTAGGAAACTACATAATTGAGTGAGGTGGAATGCTAGTCATAAAATTTTCATTCAGCAACTAATTTTGAATTTCTTTTGCATTAGAGTTATTCATCTACTTCTGTTATGCAATTGCTTTGCATCTTTGAAAGATAACATTTCTAGTCCTTGCATATCATAAATGGTTCATAACATTTGAGAATTCAATAAAACTCAATGTTTTGATTACAGACGCTGCTGAGCCTTGGCAAGCTTGCTGCTCTAGCATCGGACAATGATCATCAGAGAGAGATTGGTGGTGAGTGTGAACAAGACCCTCAAAACACACACTATCTGCTAGATGGCAGTTATGACTGGACAAATGAATGTTTACAGTAACGTTCCCTTGATCGCATTTTTATCTGTGTGATTTTTAGATTGTATATTGTATGGGTTATAGCCAAATTTGTATCCTATTTTCCCATATTTGTTCCTCGAAAATGAACTACCGGTATACGTTTATGGTAGTTTATGGAGACTTCTTTTTTATATATAAACAGGGGCTGACAGCCTCAAAATCAACATTTTCAGATGCTCTGTATGTTAGGTCTTTCATGAAAATACAATTATATCTACCGGATTTACATTTATGAATATGGCTGCAGATTCAATCAGTATTGATTTTCATACAGTGTGAAATCAAGTACTCTCTAGGTCATTCGTCAACTTGTAGGAATAGGTAGACACGAAGAAAAGAGTTTGAATTGTCACCTTTACTACATTTACAATGTCTTTGAAAGAATTCTTGGCTATAATAGTCACAGAAGATAAATCTTGATATATTGTGTCCTCCCTTAGAAATCAATGCAGAGTTGGACGTCATCACGCATCATGAACAGCTACCAAGGGATCTTATTCAGGTGAGTTTTTGTTAACCCGCTTTTTAAAAAGGTTATATTTTAGCTTTCATGAAAATACCTGAGAATACCTTGCACTGGTGAATTAGTCATCGAACATTGCATTAAATAGCCCAAGTTCAAATTTATTGCAAAGCCTTTGGGCATTTCTACATATTTTCCAAGGATTGTGTCATTTTGATGCAAATTTATAAAAAGTGCAATGCAATTACCAGTAAAAGCTATTTACAACAGTACTGTATCCTAAAGAAATAAGAATAAGTACCATAAACAAATAAGTAAAGCACAAAGATTTCCATGTGTATGTTTTCATTTCTTCAAGAAAATTGATTTATTTTAATGATATATACATGTATCTATTTGTATGTTTACAGAAATTGAATTTGAATGGGGATGATCTGCCCTGCATGACTCCACAGCAACTAATTGAGGTACCGTAAGTCTTTCTGAAATCATAAAAAGATATTAATAATAATCTCTGTTTAATGAGCACCTTCTTAATTTTTATACCACAGTGATGTGGGGAGGGGGGGGGTCAGAGAGAGAAAGGGTGTGGGGTGCATAATAGCATAGCAGGGCCCCGTCTTTAAAGAGTTGATATTTATTGCAACTATGTACATAAGAGAAAGGAGACTGCAAACTTACGATTGATTAGAGGACTTGCAATTGATTTGGATCAATCACAACTGTTCATAAGACGGGGCCCAGGGATGCCTATTGAGGAGGCACTAGCACGGGGGAGACACCGATCAAACTTGTTGAATGGAGTGCGAATTAAAGTGACTCTGTAACATTGTCTCAGATTCTGAAATAAGGCTCTGTATAAGCTTGGCTTGTTAGAGTAATGTGCCGCAGGATTCCATATCCTTAAACTGCTGGCGAACAGAGCAACAAGACCAAGCTCTGCAATTATTAGGATCTCTGTCCAGTAGTGCCGTGTTTGTTCCATCGAACTGGATCGACCAAATCAATTGATTCACAATATATGTATATGCAATATTTTTTCCCGTAACATGAGAGTAATTTTAATAGTTTCATACTATTAATTAAATGTATTGTTAACTGTAACTGTATAATTGTTTTAAATGGGGGCACGCTACAAGAGTCCCATCTCGCACCCCGGGGCAACGTGTCTGACACGGCCGGTTGTAGCAACTACTCCGAAGATCAAGATTACAGTAATCTTGATCTAAGGAGACACGAACGAACAAAGATTCTGAAACAAAATCCTGGATTTAGCTCGTGCTGCAATGATAATCATAAACCATTAGGTCAGTCAGGAACCCCATGACTTTTACAAGCTGTCTGATAATCAAGATATGTATGATTGGAAATCGAAATCAAATTTTCTGTTTTCCTAATGGTTTTAATAACACTCCAGTCTATTGGGAAAAATGATTATGGTGAAACCGGTCACTCAAAGATTTTTACTTTTTTGAGGGCACTTCATGATCATTTTGAAGCTCATTTTGTTATGGCTTCAATATTACACTATATCACAGACACTGATAACACGTAGGACCATGCATCTCAGATTAAACATTGTTAAACTATGCCTTTAAGGGAGAGAGAGGGATGGGTGGGGTTGAGATTAGTATTGATCATTGAACCTTCACGGGAGCTAAAACTAGATGGATACATGACTTGTATTTCTCCTTCTTGTTATCACCTTCAGCTCTACATCAGCGAGAGGAACACAAACTCCAACGAGTATGACTTCAAGAAGGCTCTAGATTTGCTACAGTACCTCCATAAGGTATGGCCAAACACCTTTAGTTGTAAACTGTCACAACAAGGCAACATTAGATGCTGCTCATAAGTATCGGCTTGCATGGTAGATATACAGTAGGCTTACGGTTGCACCATGTGAGAACATTGGATTATACAATTAAAGGTTCCTGCACTTCACAACACAACATTAGCATCAGTATTAATACATAACAAAATAACATAATACCTGTGACAAACACAGTCGTAAGGTTTTAATAACAAAATCAGATCTTCACAAGCGAGTCTTCTGCTTATGCTCATAATAAACATATGTCTTTACATTGATACATATGTTGTTGTTTTTTAAACATTGATTGGACCATACATTTTGATTGTAATCAAAACATTGGTACATTACAAATTAGCGTTTGTTTAACCTATATCTTGTAAGTGTATTTTTTAAAGTATACTTTTTCTCTTCAAAGATGAACATACTAATTACCGTATGATATACCATTGCTGCTCTTGGCTTTTATAGTTGATTTCTCTCACACTTTTTACTTTTAGGAGTATTTTTTTTTAGCAGTGATGTACTTTTTTTTTTCTCAAATGAATTCAAATGATCATAGACTGTAGTACACTTGACTATGCACCCTCCTTTTGCATAAAAAGTTAGATGGTGACTTAGACGTATTTCACTTTGTATAAACTTGTCTTTGCATAGGAGGGCTCCCACTATACAGACCTGATGGTGAGGATATGGTGCAGAGCTATTCTACGAGATGAGTAAGTATTCATGCTCTTCATAATCAGATTAATGCAAAGTTATAATGATAAATACCCTATAATTATTAATGATGATAATTACAGAGATAATTTTATTTATATAACACCTTTTTAAAAGGTGCTGATACTGATATCTGAAAGCTTCTTTCCTGCATTTTTACATGTGGCATTTATCATAGCTCACTAGGTGTCAAGCTTCGCTTATCTTGGTGCCCTGGCCAGTTGTATTTTAAAATTTCATATTTCTTCATGCATATTATAACGATTATCGATTTCATTATTTATTTAGAACTGAAAAATAATTGAAATGAGCATCGACTCCAGACATTTTCAGAGCTACCAAGTGTCACGCATTTCGAGGGTCTGGCAACGCTCTCACACACAAGGCACGCGCTAGATTTCGAAAAAACGCTATACCTTATATGTGTATTACACCCTCACCTGCGCGCTCGCGCCGAATCATGAAAATGTCACGCATTGCTGATCTTTGAACTTGGCGTCTCTTCATTTTGTGTCATTGTACTTATACAAATATCGCTGTATGATATTTACAGATGTAATATTTACATTTTTCTCTATAAGAGTTTTAGTTAAGGTCATTTAAACCTGTGCTACAGCTTTGGGCTAGTAGAGGAGGCACTCTAAAATTATTGTCAAATATATCAGGGTTTCCATCTGTCTTGGATAAGGACTTCCCATTTTTTCCAACCAGAAATTGAGAAAAATCACTTAAAAACTCTGTCGGAAGTGAAAAATGAAATAGATGAATTACATATCAATGGAAAGATTATGAGCCATAGATTACAATAATATCAATTATATGCTATTTGAGTGTCTGTCAGAGGAGTAACAGCTGATGTAAATAGAAAGATTAAGCATTAAAATAATAAAAACAAAATTAACAAATGTAATTATTTTATTATAATGTAGGTGGAATGAGATGCAGGGTGTGGACCCATGGGACTACATCAAAGACTCCATCTTCTTTAAGACAGCTGCCAAAGCACTCCAAGAAGGTAAGCTCCTCTCATAGATTTAATCGACCGATTAAAAATTGGATTAAAATTAAAAATTAGATTAAAAATGGACTTGGGGATATTAAATTGTTTTTTCTGGGGGAAGGGGGTCCTGATTTAAATTTTTTACATCTTAATGAATGGGCCCTGTGTTTAAATCTTGACATTCTGGGCACCCATGTGTCCCTGGAAAACCTGTAAGTGATGAGACCTGCTTTTAATGTATCTTCATGTCTATATTGAACGGACTTCTTGAAATAAAATGGGAATAACTGACCCTTGCCACCTTATAAGAGAAAAGAATAAAGATATTTGGAATGTTGAATGTTCTAGTGTAATGTTATTGTATTGCTTTATATGTTTATACCCATGTAGATGGTCTGTTCTTATATATTTTCCAAACTTGATGCAATAGGACACCACACCCCCTTCTCCCTCTTCCTCTCCATCTCCCTCTTCCTCTCTCTCTCTCTCTCTCTCTCTGTTTCTCTCTCTCTGTTTCTCTCTCTTTTCTCTCTCACTCTCTTTCTGTATCTTTTCCTTTCTCTGTGACTGTAATGTCTCCTTATTTTTTACACTTTTTCTCCGTTATAGTTTAACTGCGAATTTGAAGGCTTTGCTTTATAAATACAGCTCTTTTTCTACCAATAAGACCAGTGCAGTTTAGGTTAGTATCATAATGAGCATTGGATGTCTTTGTTCGACAGGTCTTGACCTGACCGAGTGCCTGCCAGACCCAGACACACTGATGCAGCACTATGAGCTGCAAGGGATGAGGGACAACACACGGTTCGAGTACCTTCTCAGGACTGGCTTTGAGCAGATCGGCAGGAGTCTAGCCGCAGCTGAGTAACAAAGAAAATATATTCCTTAGGTCTAGCATGTTGAGCGAATGAAATAGGCTTGTATCGATCCTTTGGGGCTGGCTTTGGGCAGATGGGTCCATGTCTAGTAGCAGACAATTGGGTTCATCTAGTACACGGTTTCCGCTGCAGAGGGATGGAATGAGACACTTCAGACTCTTGAAAACATTCCAGAGTCTTGGAGTAAAGAGAGAATGAACATCTAGGCATTGTCTTTAGCAAAAGGATGAAATCACTGTTACGCCTTGTTCATGCATATCCTGGTCCAGCCCCCCCCCCCCCCCCCCTGGGGAAAAAACTTGAAATGCAAAGAAATAGATATGCGTAGCAGTGACTACCATGTATTCACTTATCTGTGTGGTTTATAAAGTCACACTGTTTCACATCGTGAGAATGCTAGTACAAATATAGACGAAATCGATCCCACCCCACAGTTTGTTTTAATTTTCCGGGCACTGGCGTAGCCACAGGAGGCACTTGTCCCTGCAAAAGAATGATGGTAGAGGAAAACTTGGGGGGGGGGGGAGTGCAGAGAGGGAACAGAGGGTCAATTGGAAAAGAAGATGATATGACCCACTGCAGCACCACCCCCCCCCCCCCCCTCCTCTCATCAGTGGCCCTGTTATTTCATTATAATTTGTGCCAGCTCACACATAAGAGGGCAATCTAAACATGATAGTAAACCGCTGAGAGAAGCAGACTGGCGGCAGTTTGCAAAATCTAAGACATTTTTGAAAGTTGTAATCACTTTTATGTATGGGAAAATTCAAATCGGCTGAATGGGTAATATCACTGTGATGTAGTGCCGGTCAACTTTCTCATTTGTCCAAATACACAAAATGAATGACTAAAATTATATGACTCGGGAGGATCTTTCCTTTATGCAGGAATTATAATAATATGCTAGCCTTGATTTTGTGTAGTGCCCCAAGGGAGAAGGCACTTGGGAGAAAAACAGAAATCAATCAATGAACAGGAGAGTCATGTGGGATTATTTCTCAATCCACTGACCAAATTTGAGATTTAGTGATTTCATATTTCAAACATTCATAACTTTCTTAAAGAGAAGGTTGAGTTCTGGGAAGAGGTGAAAAATAATTTGTGAGCGTAATAATTCTTATTATCCAAGAGTGGAAGATCATCAGATAAGACATGTTCCCTGAAAAGCATGGCTCTTCAAATGCCTTTATATTCTAAAACTGTCAGTAACATCGTAAAACTCGGGGGGTAGTATTTTTACGCCACGTGTTCGTGTAGTCCCATATACATCTTTCTGTGTACAGTGTTTGTAACTTTACCAAGACTTGGCAAAATTTCTTATCATTTTGATGATTCTAGAACCTTGCAATACACACAAATTCTTATATGCTAGATGATCAATCTTTTCTGGTCGATTCCACACCGTTGTTTCACAATGCAATCGCATGACCAGAACTCAACTTCATCTTTAATGTTGTTCCAGTCAATTTCAAACTTTCGCCATTTTTCTGCTTTCAAAGAAATGAACTTTTTATAACGGTTGGATTGCTCTTTAATCAACTAGATACCGATCACTGGAAGAAGAAATGAGTTCAAGTTTCAAGGGAAGACAAGCTTCGTTACCAATGTGATAATGTGGCGAAAGAAGCGTTTGATTTGTTGTCTTAAACTGTAAAATTTGCTTATTACTGAGCTTTTCTAAGATGCGACATTAAAATATTATTTTGTACTGTATCAAGAAATGTCGTTGATGACTATAATATCTGTTGTGACCTCTGTGTAATGAAATTTAATCTACTATTTCACATTTTAGGAGCTATGACACACCAAACCATTTCAGCCACTCATCCACACTCGTTTCACAGCCTTTGAAAGCAAGAGTCATGTAATCATGGAGAGGGAAAAAAAGTTAATTTACGACACTTTTAATAAGATACATGTACCCATATCTGTGTAAACAACATTCATACATGGTAGAAATCAATAAAAATAAAACTTCCGGTACCCAATAATTCTACAAAGTCCACAAAGGAGGAAATTATGTTTTCCTTGGCATGTATTAATAATAATAATAATATTGGATTCTTATATAGTGCACGTACAAACATCAAAATAAATTGTACAGCAGGCACCAACAGTAGGAAGAAATTTCTGTGGTAATAATAATATTTTGACAGTGACTACACATTTCCAATTTTTTCTTTTTTTTAAGCTCAAACACTATTTTACTGTGACTTCATGAAGTAACATTGCAAACAATTCAATTTTGGAATTTAATAACATGTGAAACACACAAATAAAAATGTATAAGCTTCTTAGGATTACGGTACAATTTGATGTTAGGATAATCCCCATATCTCTCTCTCTCTTTCTCTCTCTCTCTTCCTTTTTCTCTCTCTCTCTCTCTCTCTCTCTCCTTTTCTCTGTCTCTGTATTTCACACATACACATACACATTCTCTCTATCTCTCTTCTCTTAAGTGATATATTTCCACATATTGATAAAGGAGTAACGCATCAATATATACCTAGTCGAACCTGCATAAGCAAGGTTCACCTTCACCTTCAAAATGTTGAAATGTTTTAGCCAGCTGTTTCTCCCTGTCAAGATTCAAGATTTTATTGTCCATAATATAATACAGAAATTTGTTTTCCATTGGTATAACATGTAATACATAAAACATAAGACAAAAACATGGTGTCGTGTGCTGAAAGCCAGAAGGGCGTCAAGACTATATAAGAAAAAGTCTATGACCAGGTACGGTCCTCCGGCTTTCAGCACAAAACATGACAAGACAGTTATATGACTTATACATTTTAAATACAATTCTGAATCACATCATGAATAAATGAATAAATAAATGAATAAATTCTACATTTTATCTAATAAATTCCATTACCAATTTGTCCTCTACTAATATAAAATACCCGCATCCCTTTTGTTTTCTTTTAAATAAAATGATTTTCAATTTGTTACAGACATTTTCAGCTTTAGTGTAAATACATTTCATAGGAGCAATCAAGATGGGTTTTTTTCTGTTTTTTTCTAGAATATATACTGAAGATTTACTTAGTAGTTATTGATGAGAAAATAACCAGATTTTGTTGAGAAAAAAATAAATAATAAACATGAGTTAGAGAGCAATAAATGATTACTACAAGAAAAAGAGGAGCCCCAACACCTTCCGATCCATGTCTTTGTAATTATGAAATCTTTCATAAGCTCATTTGCTGGATTGACATTTCTTTAGGCTTGTGCTATGCATAGTGAATCAAACTTTAAGTTCAAGATCTTTGAAATTTTGAAATTGACAGAGAAGCGGTTTAGTCTACTTGACATTTTACGAACCAGGAAAATTTCTTTCAGGTTACCGAGTAACAATGCTAAAAATTGCTCTGTAACTATTTATGATTACCAATCAACTGTTAAAAAAAAAACCTGGAAAGAAATGTTCTAGGTCGCTGTTGGTATTAGGAGCCTCAAACGGATTAGTTCTCTGAAACACCAATCAAAGTATTATAATAATGGTAGTACATGTACTGTTAGTATTTTCATTGACCAATGAATGGGTTAGTACATCCCATCAATGCTGTCTGCAAGTGATCGTCTTTCGGGTGTGCTGCCATCATCTCCTTCACCGAGCGAGGATCTAACGGTAAAGTTTCCATCTCCGCTGCTGTGCACAGTGGCTGTAACTGTCTGCTGATCACTACTGCCGTAAGATGGATCAGCGAAACCAACATCGGGAACGTCGCTCTCCGAATTCATTGCGACAGGGGCAATTAGTGCATCGCCGTTTGAAAGAACTCCCCCATTTGCTTCTAGTTCGATGTCAAGTAAATTGGTCGTCATCTCTTCATTTTCTATCGTTAACGTCGGATCAGAAGAATCAGACATCACCGTCATATCAATCGCTTCGTTCGTGTCATCTGTTAAATTGGAATTTCCGTCTCCTTGTGATCTGCTCTTTGAGTCTGCATTGAGAATGAAACCATTTGCTCCTTCGCCAGTGTGTAAAGTCTCTTCTTCGTCGACTTGGAATTCCTGTTCATCGTCGATATAAGCTGCATTGATCTTTCCACCATTTTGCATTGGATCTGGGGAAGGGACTTTCACATCTCGATTGGCGTTTTCATCATGCATGCCGTCATCGTCACTGTCGCTTTGAGCGTACGCATCTGCTTTGACCAGCTCTGTGTCACTTCTGCATGTAAGATATATACAAAAAGACAATATAGAACGTGTGCTAATGATAATAACATGAGGCTACTGCTAGAAGATAACACTGCTGCAAGAGACAAAGTTGAGTAAATATTAACATTGTATATCAATTTGAGGCGCGTTACGAAAACAAGATTCACACATAAGCTGCATAATCTCATCAAAGTTAAAACCATCATATAAACTGCACAACCTCATCAAAATCATAATCATGAAAACAAGCTTCACTAAATAAAAAAAATCTCAAAGTATCATCATCTTGTGATCTATCTTACTACAAGCAGGTTTTCAAAGAAATTTCACAGCATAGTTCAATTGTAATTTTAAAATGTTATTAACCTACTGACAGATCATATTGATGATCAAATCAAAGTTGCAGAATTTGGGGATAAATAGCCAAAATTGGCAGTAGTAGATCAGGAAAAATTTGTGCGATAGGTTGGGCATATCACCTAGATTAAGAGCTGATTTGGTCCTTCCCTAATAGAAAGGCGTATAATGCTTTATTCCATAATTTTTTAAGTATGATATTAATTCTGAAACTTTGATCATGAGATTCCACATCTAGTGTGTTTCCTAATTTATTTATTTTGAGTATTAATGTGAATATTCATTATAATGACAATAGAGGGTTCTTGTATAGCGCTTATGTCTGTCAGACTTAACACTCTTGGCGCTCCACAATTATTACCCTGGCTTTAGGACGGCTGCCATTATGGCACTCGTGCATTTCAAGGAATTAAATCCCGTCAGGTACCCATTTACCTCACCTGGGTCGAGTGTGTCAAATGTAGATTAATGTCTGGCCGAAGGACATTAGTGCCGTAGCAGGAGCTATATAATCCACAGTCCGTTGATATGTCTACTAAACCATGACACCACCAATATCAAGATATACAGTTAACAACTAATTTATTCATACTCTTACCAAGTTTTGTAATTTTTTTAGTATAAGAAAAATGTTGATTGTCCCGGTATTGTTTCTTGAGAATGTGATATATTCAACAAAGGCCCCAATTCACCCAGTCCACCTTGATTCTTGAGTAATAAAAAACACAAAAATCATCAAATTTACTAGGGTATGAATAATTTAGTATATATATATCTATAATATGGTCTTTTAAAATCTTACCCATAATGTTCAGTTTTAGTTTGTTTGCATCGGCGTACACAGATGGGGAAACACAGGATGAGGAGTAAGAGCAAAACAATACCCCAGAAAGCTCCGGCTACAATCGCTAGGGTCCTAGGCTCTGTGAAAATGAGAGTGAAAATTAAAGTAAAATGAAGGTAAAATGAAAGTAGAATGAAGGTAAAATGAAGGTAAAATGAAAGTAGAATGAAGGTAAAATGAAAGTAAAGTGAAGGTAAAATGAAGGTAAAATGGAAGTAAAACAAAAGTAAGACGGAAGTAAAATGAAGGTAAAATGGAAGTAAAACAAAAGTAAGACGGAAGTAAAAATGAAGGTAAAATGAATGTAAAGTGAAAGTAAATGATAGTATTTAGATTATGATGACGTAACAAGACGTACGTTGAAGTTGAATCGTTGTAATGGTCCCATAGGGTTACTTGTACTAGACTATATTAGTACATCCCATGAACCTTCATATTTCATAGCTCTGCAAGTTTTGAAACTTTCTTTTGCATGTATAAATATTAAGCTAAGAACTGCAATTGGATGTTGGTGCTTCATTACTGGCACTATAGAGAGCCCATGTTAGGTTTCATTGATATAATGTAATTTGACATTGGCTCTGACAATGTCAATAAATTTGTGAATTCATCATTGTTTCATCAGTTTGATGACTCTGAAATACAGCCATCCCTACCATAGATTTCAATTTGTGTTATTGACAATGTTAATAATAATAATAATAATAAATGACAGTTGTACACTGTACAGCGCATACCACCGCTTATTCCCTATGCGCTTTGGAAGATGAGGAAAAGATTAAGAATCAAAATAATAAGAGAATATAATTCAAATCCGATACCAACTATACTTTAAACTTAAGGAAAACACTGCTCATGCACAAATTAGTTTCAGTTTTTTTTTCTCCAATTAATTGTTTTTTGTTCCATAAATCAGCTGCTGCTACCCTGACCCAGCGAGCTCCATATAAAAAGGATTAACTTTAAAAGCCTAATATCCATTTAGGTTAAGATGAAAACCAAGGAGTTTTTTTTTTCTTTCTATTTACTAGGTACAGAACTACAGAATCCAGATAGGATAGCTAATCTTCATGTATGTGGTGGTTGAGATTTGAAAAGATGCTAGAGTTCCCACCATTCACTTTATCTTCCAATTCGCATCTTGTCCCGTAGTAGGTAAACTCTGAACATCTGTAAGTAAAAAAAAGATGAAGGGGTTACAGTTTGAGAATATTAACTTGACAATAAAGAGAAATAGTTTGTAGTGAGTTTTATGTTTATTTTTTCATAACAGTACTAAATTATTTATTTGTTTATTCATTCATTCCTTATTTTTGGTTTAATTCTATGTTTATTTATTTGTGAAATTATTTATTGATTTATTTGTTAATTCATTCTTTCGTTCATTGATACATTTTGTTTTGGGTTCGAGAGGTTGGCTCCTTAAAGGGATAGTTGAGTTCTGTTGCAGAGGGCGCTACACAAAATATTTTTTTGGTGAGATAATGAAAAACAGAGTGTCAAATTTGAAAGAACATAATATTTAAATGACAAAATCATCTTGTTTGATTAAAATCGGTTCAGAGACGGCTGAAATATAACAATTTCTAATACTTGTGTACCACCACAAATATTAGATATTTTGAACAATTTGAAAAAACTGTTGAAAAAAAACACGAAATAACACCTTTTACGTCGTATTCCAGCCAATGCCGATGTTGGTTTATTTGTTGGCATTTTCGTGTTGCTTATATTACGCACAACCAGCCGGATCATGTATTGTTATTTTTAATTAAATAATTAATTACCGTCACCGTGTTTTTTTTTTTAAAGTGGAGCTGAATATTGGTATGCTCGTATTGGCTAAATTTTACACATTTTGAGGTCTAAAATTACCTTCATAGCAATTTTAGGTTCTAAAAGGGCACTATAAATGTCATAGATAAGAATAAGAGCAATAACCATGCACTTTGAAGGCATTTGCGGTCTGAAAACAGAACTCAACTATCCCTTTAAATGTCTTTAAAACACTTGTAATCAGACAGTTTTGATCGATGTGACTTTCACCTCCCCTTCTTCAAAACTTTCTGCGAGCAACTTCATATTTTTTCAAAGCCTTGTTGGCAGATCACATATTGTTTTATTCAGATAATGGTAGGATGGATAGCTGGGCTTGTTGTAAAATCATGGAATTTTCGTTCTGGTAATTTTACCCGGCATCCTCCCCACCCCTCCCCTTGGCATTTGAAATTGTTAAGCAATGCTCTTGGAGGGAGATACAATGAAAACCTCAAAGATATTTAACTTACATTTCTATTCAATTCAATTGGATTCAAAATTATTGAAATGGAATCCACAACTTTGGATAACTTACATGCACAACACCAATGGCTCCTTATTAGGTCTCACACAAAATCCTTCATTGAGACAGTAGCTGGGGTTGTCAGTACAGTAAGAGACACAGGTTTCGCCTTGGACCGTACAGTTCATTCCAGATGGACATGGTAACAAGTAACATGCGTCGATAGTGATCATTTCACCTGCAAACGTATTGAGAGAAGAGGTAACAATCTTGGAATGGTAAGAAGGCAGTGGAGATCATAGATGGGTATAGGGGGATGAAAACAAGAGGTTTTGAAACAGGTCTACAATTTACAGTCACTGAAAGGCATCCTTATTATTAACTGATCAATTGTGGTGGTTTCGAAATGGTCTTTTAATTTTCTAATGTTCTTTTTAATTTCCATTTTTTTTAACCTCCCCCATCCGTTTCTCTCTGCCTCTCCCTTTATCTGTCCTCTCGATATTCAAATCTAAGGCTATAACAAACTCTTAGGATGAAAATCCCAAACAAGGACAATTTAAACTATTGAAGGGCATTAACTTTGAGTAAAATGATAGGAATTAATGCCTTTCTGGCTCAACAGACAATATGTAACTAATGTTGTTCTGGAAGAGGACACGTACCAAAACGCACTTTTGACAATCTTCAAGACACAACCTCGGGCAAGGGTGTTTCACAAACATTCTAAGGCGATGTTGGACTTTAACATTATCAAGAGCCATTTGTAGCCTTATAATGAAATATATTCAAAAGCAAAAATTTAAGTATTTTAGACTTTTCATAAATTCCACATCAAGAAAATGAAATCTCCCATGATAAGAGAAAATATGAATGATTTGATTCAACGTTGTATGCCTTTTAAAATAACTTTTACAAAATATATTCAAAGATGCTAATGGCTTTCCATAATTGATAAGTCCAACTAGGATCTTTGTGAAACACTCCCCAGGAAATGCATTTTCTTACCATCATCATTGATCAGCTGGACCTCCTCGACACTAGCGCCAACGAGGCCTTCGTCTGTGAGTGAGGTGAGGAGGATCCGCGTCTCTTCTCGTTTGGAATCGGGCGTTGTCTCCTCTGAGAAACCGAGACTGAGCTGAATCTCGACGCCCCCTTCTTCTGACATTCTACATGACATACATGCAGGAGATTTGAGACGGAGAGGTTGAGAAAGAGATAGAGAGAGACAGAGACAAACAGAAAAATACACATATGGATAGAGAAATTGAAATCCTTATTGAAGATCCTATCTAACTTTTTTAAATGGTTGTGAAAGTACTGTAATCAATTTGGCCAAAAGTTTAAGGAAAATGATCAGTGTTTGGTCAGTATTTAAAGCTTATCTGTACTAGTTTATAGGAGGGATTAGACCGCCCTGCAGGGTCACTGGACAGGTGGCTATCTAATCAACTTAGCTCTCAGTTAACATAAGAAAAAGAGGATCATGGGGGACCAATGGTCACCGATTAGGCATCGTTTTCTATATAGAGGGAGCAAGTATCTACAAGTAGGACAGTGTGGCTTTAACATCTGACATAGTCTCGGAAGTAGAGGAATTGTTTTCCTTCAAATTTAAGGACTTATTTCCCTGAAAATCTATACAAAATATGAGAAACATAAATATTATTTTTTTTAAATTACAATGAAAAATGCCATTCACCTACGCTACAAAAGTACAAATAATTCAAAGTCATAGAATAATATCAAAATAAAAGGAGTAATTCGGCAAAAATTCCATACCATTACCACCAATCATATTATCTTGCTTCTCTTCATTTGCATGATTGTGTTTTAAAAAACATTTATTGTAATTTCCTAAGTTGGATAGTACCCTTAATCTCTTTCAAGATTAGAAGAAATCCTCCTTGTTGCATTATTTTTTGCTATTGCATTCGTTGTTTCAAAAAAATCCCAGTATAATGCCATACCAACAAAATTGATAGCATCTGAAACTTCATAACAGGCCGTTCATATAATCTCCAAAAAGATATTCTGCAATAGGGAATACTATACGGTCAAAGAATTATTTGAATTTGAACTTCAAACATCAAACATTAAATAACTCGTACTAAGATGAAAAGGCTCTCTGAATATGTAAAATCTTTTTGACATCAAACTTGCCTAAAATCTGAATTTGGAAATTGCTGCTTATTTCTGAAATTTGTTGTGCCTCCATCCTACTAATTTGTTGTAAAAGGCACACAACAAGTTTACTCACGTAATATTGATGATGGTCGCGTCTAAGAAAGCAGGATCCATTCCAAAGGCTTCTTCAATCTGAAAACAGTCACAAATATTGGGCACAAAATAGCAAATTTATTTTTCTGTAAAAAAAAACGATCATGCGTTATTCAGATGAAGCATGTTTTTTTTTTAAATAAAAACATTTTGATTGTCGAGTCTAAGAAAGTTGGGTCCATTTAAAAGGGTTCTTGAATCTGAAAACAGTCGAATAAAAACTCAATCACAAAATGGTGTAATTAATTATGTTCTAAAAAACGATGACATTTAGAAGGCATTTATTTTTGTTCACATTACTGCATGGCATGAATCTTATGATTTTTCAATAACTATTTTTCACAATCATAAGGTAGTATATTCTGTGTTCGAACATTTATTTTTCGAGCTAAATACAACGTCCATTGTAATCGTCTTTGATATTGAGTTGAAAAGGCATCATTAAGTATGTATTTCACCTTTGTTTGAATGGATTCATCTATCATTCGATAATGTTCAGAGTCTTTGTCCGCCAGGCTTTCCGAATATACAAGGCTGGGTAGCAGAATCTGCAATGAAAATCTATTTCTGGCTGTTGGAAGACCAAGAATATAAAAACATTATCAAGATTGAAAAATTGAATGAAATGATGATTTAAAAAAAATATAGCTATACGTGTTGACTTGATGAAAAGGCCGACCCTTGTTTTAGAGTCTTGGTAATAAATAAATACAGAGCCTGTTTTCTTTCCGTAAAGTCTGCTGTACATGAAGGTTTATCAAGTTGACATAGAATTTATCTTTCTCATTCTCTTAATCTCTCTCTCTCTCTATCTCTCCTGTATGTCTCGCTATCTATCTGTCTACCCCTCCCCTAATTCTCTATCTCTCTCTCTCTGTTCATCTTTCAGTCTATAGACATCTTCACCAATTTATTTAAATTGATGTATGTGTTTCTCCAGAACCCCTGGTTACCAAACATGGAATTCACCTGCGAAGCATTATAAAACTGCATGGATAGCATCCATTTTACATATATTAGATGTCGCTATGTCGGGCAAAATGTGGCAGGCTTTTGAGTCATCAAGAACAACTTGTTCAAGAAGCATGCATTACATTAGTAAACAAGTCTGTGCACCTTGCATGCATTATATTAGTTGTCGCTAGGTCGACAAACCCACTGCAAGCTTTCAGAGTCTTCAAGAGCAACCATTGTTCAAGGATCGAGTATGCATTTTTTATATAATCACCCTGCAGCATACATCATGTATCACTTTGTTGGGCACACCTATGGAAAAAATAAGCCCTTGCGTCGTCAACAGCATCAATTGTTAAAGAAGTCAGCATGAAATTGGAAACAATAGGGACTTTTAGATTTGCGTGGACTGATACGTGTGACGTCCATTCAAGGCAGTGCATTAAAAGGACGTCGATCGTAGCAATCCCCATTGTCTTCGTGCGAATCTAAAAGCCCCTATTGTCGAAGTCAAGAACCCTGCAGGCCTACCTGGTAACAGAACAACCTGAACCCTGAACGAGCAAGTCTCTTCATTGCCCGAAGGGTCACGCGCAGTGTACGTGACAGTCGTCCTTCCTTTGTCAAAGTTGTCGCCGGGTTGGCGGGAACCGACCAAGCTCACATTGCCGGAGTTGTCCAGGGCTGATGGTACCAACCAAGAGATCCCGACGGACTGTTGGTCCGCATAGTGTAGGTAGCCTGTTCTAAGATCTGGGCAGTCATGAATAACTGGGTCTTCGTCATCTGAAAAAAAACAAGACAAATCAAGATTTTTGTAACTAAATAACGCATTTGGGACGCATACACACATATCGATTTGGAGATGAGTGACTCATGTATATTTTCATTTTGTCCAAAAAATGAAAAACTCTTTTGGTATGACCAATGACTAATGGTGTTGATACTAGAAAGAATCGTCAGTCAATAGTAATATTGAATCATTTTTCTATTTTCGATGAAATAAATGAACAAAGGAATTGAGTCGCACGGGACAGACATCTCACAAATTCGCTAAGAATGGCATTTGGATTATACTAAATTTGGATTCCTTAGTTCTTCATTCAATTTCCTACCCTACGCTAACAATTTTCTACCCTGGTAACCATCAAAACAGTCCATGACGTTGATGCCTTTGAACGTTACTTTCTTATGACATCAGTATTGTCGAAAAGAAGAACCGAACATTTTCCCGATATTACTTTTGTCCTGACAATGTTATTTTGGAAGTTCCACTGACCCTTCCCTGGCTCACTCAGTTGGTTCGGAATTATTCACTTATTTTTCGCTAGAATACGAGGGATTCAGCACACACACACAAAATAATTAACATAATATGACGAACATTTTTTTTTTGGGGGGGGGGGAGGGCAGACAGCGGCCGTTTTGGGGTCATTTCTCGAACCGCCTATTCTTTATTAATATTAACTCTTCCCGATTTACGATGCATACCAATGATAGTGACACTAAAGGAACATGTTGCGCGGTTGAAGGACTCATCTACGGCGGTGTATACGACTTCTGTGACGCCGACGTAGAAGACTGCGCCTGACTGATGCGACGACGTTAAAGTCACTGGTCCTCCACTGTCATCACGACCCAATGGAGCAAACCAGGCGATGGCGGTGAAACGTTGACCGTCGTCCGCAGGTCTGGTCACGTCATTGGGACAGAGCACAATAATTGGCGGTGTGTTGTCTAAAAATGAAATAATAATGATGATTAATTACTCTTAAACGTGGATCATGACTTGTGAATCTTTCAAAAATAGATAAGCAAGTGGCGCACTGTTCATTATCACTCTCGCACAGCGCACATGCGCCAATAATTAATTTTTATGCAAAGCAATTTTTTGCACTGTCTATTTTGCATCCACTTGTATGTACGATGCCACTCTAAAACGGTGCGTTAAAGACTGCGCCAGTTGTTGACGCAGTTCTACGTCTGTAAAATGACGTATCGTGTGTACCAGGCATAATGGCCCGAATTCACAATGGAGGTTTGTCGACAAACCTTGGTTTTCGTGCGTCATTATGACGCGTTTCGACGCGTTTTTACAAACCAGGTTTGTAAAAAAAAACACGTCAAAACGCGTCATATGACGTACATAAACCTCGGTTTGTCGACAAACCTCCTTTGTGAATTCGGGCCAATGAGATTAGTGACCACGCTCCAATTTACCACTCGTAAAATAGTTTTATCCCACTTACATCGTCATAAAATAATTAAATTCAGTGTTTCTGTTTTACGATTATAACCCACCTCCTAATTTTTCGAAATAGATAACGCCATCTTGATGTTGAAGATCGTCGTAGGTTCGCGCGATGTTTTCGCTCAGACGACACTCTCCCGACGACGTATACTCGGCTGATCGACACACGAACCTCTCCTCGTCGAGGCACGCAGCCAGGCACTCGGCGACGTCGGAAGCGGTGATGATCGCATCGTCGTTGCCGACCAAGGTGTGTTCGTCTATCTTCGTGAACAGGCCTAGCACGAAGGCTGGAAGATGATGACGGAAGGTAGGGGAAAGATATTATTTGTTGATATTACAATCGTGTGAATAATGATGAATATGTGGAAAGAATGTGACAATTAAGGTTCACTAGCCTCTGCTGCTGCTGTCCCGTTGTTGCGGGTGTTTGTTTTGGGGGTTTTCAAAATAAGAATTTGGTTTTACAAATGTATTTATTTTGTTACACACCATATCTTACATTAAGGAACATTTGCCATAATGCCTGTCGTTATTGAATTATTGCTATTAAAATAAACATATTAATATTGCTTTGTTTTCCTCTTTTTGAAAATATACATTTCCTTTTACATGCATTGGAACATAATTATATATATTCGAATTTACGGACACGATAAATATCTAATTTCACATATTGTGCTAAAGAATACATTATATTAACGTATATGGTTAGATCGCAATGTTCATATCCATGATTTAATCACAGATATTTAGATTTTTCACCGCGCATTGGTTCATTTCTTTAGATAAAATCAAGAAGAGATTATTTAAAATTCATTTAAAACTTCGATGCTTTACGAAATAGCGTTCATGTCTTGGCACATTGCCACCCCTGGCGCTCCATTATTATGACCCGGCTTTAGCACGGCTGCCATTACAGCGCTCGAGCATCTTAAGGAATTACCTCGGACGGTTATAGTGAAATTGCAGAACGCTGTGTTGCCGGCCGTGTTGTTGGTTCCGTAGATGACCACCGTATCGCCCAGGGGGAACTCTTCTTCGGGCTTGTGATTGCTCCATACGTTGTCTATGTTTCCGTTGTCGTTAATGAAGGGGCTGGGCCAATCGCTTACGATGGCCCCGCCCTCTCTACTGGTTGCTGTAACAACGATGTCAGCTGGGCATTCGATACTTGGAGGCTCCTTTTCTAGATTGGATTAAAATAGAATGATATAGTTCATAAGTTCATATTCATTGTCCATTTAGCAATGGAAGTTCTTCGTGTTACATGGTATTGCGATACACATATATATAACATATACACTCATACACAAATTAATGAAATAATGTTTGTGTTGACAGAAAACAAAAACAAACAATTAACAATCAAAACAAAGATATAGTAATTCGTAAGACATGGCATAAAGAAAATAAAATGACAACGACAACAATAATGATGATCATTTTATATTAAGTTTGCCACTCTCCATCCAGGTGAGGTATAAATGGGTAACCGGTAGGGAGAAATTCCTTAAATGCTTTAGCGCATTAGCTTTAGCTTGCAGCCTATTTGACAAGGTATTTCTGCATATTTTCCCTTTTCGGCCCGGGTCACGGTGTATAATAATTATGATGCTACCCTAGCTAAATTATATCATAATTATAGCTAATTACCAGATAATCAGATAGAAAGATAGATTGGCCTCCACTGGCAGCACATAAACCAAATGTAATGTAGTTACATCACGCACATTCGCTGCTTTCAATTATTCATTCCTGCCAAGCACAGCTTCGCATGCCCCCCCCCCCCCCCCAAGGGCGGCGGATCCAGCCGGCGGCAGGGGAGGGGGCCCAATTTGTGAGAAGATATTTAGTGGCGAAACAGCCATCCGGTGAATAAGCGGGGGGGGGGGGGTAGTGAGCAAAATTAATTTGTTTTTCTCTCGAAAATTTGAAAAATTGCCCCCCCCCCCCCATAGAGGCCCAGGGGAGGGGGCCCGTCACCAAATAAAGGTAAAATCTACGTATTTTTTCTTGTTTGTTTTTTCAGGGGAGGGGCCCCCTCCCTGGATCCGCCACAGCCCCCCCCCCCCCCCCCTCTTTCAGTCATCTACCTTGGCTTGAAAGTCGACACGCCTTATCAGATTCTGTACGTTTCATTTAATTACCCTATGATTTCTTACAGTTTATTTCCCAGCACGGAGTAGTACCGTAATTAATCGGCTTCAACCACGGTTCCTTACCGACAATCGTTACGAGAAACCAGCATACATCGGCCGCGCCAGAAGGATCCATCAGCCTGTACGTGACGTTGGTCGTGCCCAAGAAGAATTGGTGGCTGGGTTCGTGGCTCACTCTCTCTTCCCAGCCGGGTTGACGATCGATGATGGTTGGCGGTGTCCATGTAACCGTGCCCGTGTTCAAGCCGGGCGAGTTGTCCCCGGTGACGTCGCCAGGGCAGTTTTCGTAGCCCCCAACTGAGAAACAATTCGGACTACTATTTAACTTCATTTGAATTGATTTGATTCTTCAAGTATAGGGCTAATTTGTATACATTATCTTTATAAACTACGAAATGATAATCAATTTTTTCGTATATATATATATATATATATATATATATATATATATAAAGCATGATAGCCGTTAAAAAGCTGACAACTTTCCGCCAGCAAGAGCACCCTTCCCCCTCCCCCCCCCCCCCCGGCTAAAATTCAACAAAACAACAAAACTGTATTGTGTTCGTGAACCCCTTTCCACCGGAAAAAATTGATAACTTTTGTTTGTTGTAGTTATTGCTCGTCAAGAATATTTCGGACCCCAGTTGGAGAAATCAAAAGTGATTTCTTTCACAGAAATCTTCGAGAACTTTACCCGAGCTGTGATATCTATAAACAAATTGGATGGATATTTTCTCATGGCCCGAACATTCCTAAGTTATTACTTTAATCAAAGGTCATACGAATAGTTATCGTAACATGGGACTGCACTTTTTGACCTTTCAGCCTACCTTGGACGGTGACGTAGAACCTACAATAGGCGACGTTACCGGACGGGTCAGTAGCGGTAACGTTAAACTCGGTCATACCACATTTGAAGAGGCCGCTGCCTGGGAAATGTGAATAAGCCATAATCGGTGTTCCATCGTTGTCTGTCGCGGTCGGGACTGTCCAGGACTGCGTGACGTTGCATGCAGACTCTGCAAGTACCCTTGATGTTATGTTGCCAGGGCAAGAATTGAACGTTGGAGGTTCAACGTCTGAAAACGCGGGGGGGGGGGGGGGGAGTGGGAAGAAACAAGATTTAATCATATTAGCATTGAATATTATTTTATAGCGCATTTTTGCCACCGTGGCTCAACTAGGCTACACTCTAAAAAAAAATATTGGGTAAATCGTGAAAAATCATTCTTTATTCACGTAATTTTCCCATTTATTAAAGCAAGAAGCAAGACAAAGACCCACTGCATATGAGGTAGGCGACGGTCGCTGACCCTGGGCTCAAGGATCAAGCTCGCCCCTCCCTCAAGATTATAAAGCACAGGCAAATGAATGCAAGAACGATCAAACCTCTAAAACGTACTTCAAACCCCCCCCCCCCCCCCCGCCCCCCGCCCGAAAAAAAAATCTTTTTCTAGAACCGGACCTGTTTTCCTCTAGACCACTTCTCTAAAAACAATATCTAGAGCATAAATAATGTAATACAATATAAATCGGGTTGCATTGAAGGTTAATCACCCATGAATAACGCTACTCATGTGAAACATCTTTATGAAACAAAGAACTTCCTATTTCGCTACTATACTAAAGAGTAGATTGATCGTTACTCGTATCTGCGCTTTTTTAAAGAAATATTAGAAACTCTATAAACTATTTGTACATCGTTATCACTAAAATGATAAGAGATAGCTTATGGTAATATTATTATTTCGCCATCTGCAGTGTCGGAAATAATATTCCAAATCCACATCACGTTTTCTTTATTTTAGTTGATAAATAACTTGACATAATTGTGTTTTATTCAGAAGTGGAGACTGGGAAGACAGTGGTGATGACTATTGTACGCAGACAACTACCGTCTGGACAACTATCACCAAGGACCCGCCCCCCCCCCCCGGACACTAGTATCCTATTTGACAGCTATACCTGTTTACCACTTGTTGATTCTACCCCTTATCCCGGGAGTAGTTGTCTGGGGGTAATTGTCCTAGGGATTATTGTCGGGGGCTATATCTCATGTGACAGAGCGAGAGTATATAGTTTCCATTCAGTTGAGGATTTATTTATCCTAGGGTCGGTTGTCAGGAGCTAGATGTCCGGAGCTTTGCCTAGATTGTTAGTTCATTTTGGTAGATTCCCTAGCTAGTCTAAGAGTCGATAATGTATTAGTCACAAGCCGTCATCTTCAGTATCCTTCTTTTTTTTTGGGGGGGGGGGGGTGGGTAAACCTGACAATTTGATACATATTTTACTTCAACGCGTTCAAAAGAACAGCTCTTTAGAAGTCGTTTCCATCTAAAAGATGGACAGAATCCTAAATGTGTCTGTCCAACTAATTAAGCAGCACATGCTGAAAGGCTAGCCCAGTTTGCATCGTCATATCTTTAAGAAATCCACTTCCATAAAGTGTGTCAAAACAGATGTAATACTATGGCCGGCCCGCCCCATTCAAAAGTCTGTTTGCAATAGCTTGTCCAGGCTTATTGATATTGTATTTACTTTCGCGCTGGGTTTGATAAACAGAAACACCTAGTATTTTCCTTTTGTGCATTACTGCTGAAAAGTCAATATGCATTTTGCCTATTGACACATACATGGCATATTGCAGAATAATACATGTATTATCGCAGGTCAGTAATGAATGGGGGAAATGCCGAAACTGCTGATGTCGAAAGCCTATTATTTCTCTAGAATAGGAATTAAATTGCCAGTGAATTCATCGTGAAGGCCGTTTCTCTTATTCATAACTGCATGATAAGTTCTTTTCTGTCTGACCATAGTTCCCGTATACTAGATAAAGCTTTCGGAGCAATAGCCAACAACTCGGCCACAATTTCGGCAATATTCATTCATATGAAGAAGCCAGAAGTAATTGGACGTCTCCGCTCTTTTCAACTCCTACACATTTTGGGGGGTTTAATCCGCTGGGTGTTTCACATAAAGTAAGCCCAAATTTAAGTTGCAAAACTTATGTAAGTTATAGACTATTATGTCTACCTGCAATGAAATTAATAGTGTCTGACATAGATAATCGCTCCAATGTTATATTGGTTTGGGTTTTCTGGGCCATGCTTCATTGAAATAAAATGTCTTAGAATAATATTGTTGTGCAGAACAGATAATCTGGTTAACTTGTGAAACACAATGGGCATGGTGTTTAAAAGATATTTTTATACCTATTCCATGCTTCAATTCTCATCAAGGTTCGTTTATTCTGAGATATTATTCACCCGTGTTTCAAAGTGGTTGCACAACGATATCTTTTTCTCTTACGAAACTCTTGCAATGAAGATAGTCTGGGCGAACTTTTTTTTTTTATCAACAAGACAGTCTGCATAGCGCAACTCCCCAAAAGAGCAAGAGCAAGAGCAAGAGCAAGATCTCAATGCAGTTCGAATAAAAGACTAATAACATCAAAAGGGAAATTAAAATGCTCGTAGTTGTACATGAAAACTTGACCCAACTGACTTAATCAAACAATAATTATCTAAGTTTGCATTACATATCGGAAATGGTATCTGCAGCATCAGAGAAATGCCTCGGTCACACCTACTAAACCGTCGCCGGAACGACTCCAGACCGAACAAAAAAATACAATTGCTCCCGTTAGAGGAGTCGATTTGCGCGTTTGGCGTTGTGACAGTACATATTAACGAACACTCAAGCGCTCGCATCTTCTTGGTCAACTTCTTGACTGACATCTTGTTTTATGTTTTTTTAAAGGCATAATTAACCCTTAAACTCAACCAAAATGAGATAGGCGTGCTGATTGATGGCTTAGAAGAGCTAGTAACCAAGCTGGTCTCTAGCAAGGTAACTATTATTGGAATGCATCATTTTTTCTGATGATGAAACTTACGAACGGGAGACAGCTAATTTATAAACAGTTTTCATAGTCGGGTTTTCTTTCTTTGAACGCCCGGGAATAGTTGCATTCTTTGTATACTAGCAAATATACATGTCTTTCTTTTACTATACAAATACAGGTTGTGTTAGGTTGGGGTAGGATAACTTTCCATGGTTCAATCGTATTTTGGTCAATACTTCTCACGAACGACCTCCACTAAAACGTATATTTGTTTAATCTTTAATTGTGATTGGCCTTCATGCATAGCGACAAACAACAATAAAATTATAGATAAATAAAATTATAATACTTCTACTACTACTTCTTGTACAATGTAATATGCCATTACCTCCTCCCTACCCCCCCCCCCCTTCTCTCTTTGTCTTATCCTCCTGCACTCTCGGTCTCTTTCTCCACTTCTTTGTCTCACTCCCTCCCTCCCTCTCTCTCTCTCTCTCTCTCTCTCTCCTTCTCTCCCTCTCTCTCTCTCCCTATTATATTTTCGTACCTTCCCTCCAATTTCACTCCCTCCATCCACCCACCCCCCCCCCGACTCACTCTCTATGTCAGCCTCCCTTCCCCTCTTTCTCTCCTTTTTTTCATTCTCTATCTCTCTCTCTCTCTCTCTCTCTCTCTCTCTCTCTTTCTCTCTTTCTCTCTTTTTTCTTTCTCTCTCTCTATCTCCCTCTCCATCTTTCTATTCCTCTCATTTCACACCCATCGTGCTGTCTGATTCTATGTTTTGATACCCGAAGCACTGAAACTTTTTTCATCGCAACTCACCTACGACCTGCACAGTGAACTCGCAAATATCGACGTTGGGCCCGTTGTCCGTCAGTCTGTACGTCACGACTGTTTCTCCGATGAAGAAACGATCACCGCTCATAATATCTGACCTCAATGAACTGGTTGTCGATGCGTCCTCTGTACGAGGCTCCACCCAGGTCACATCGGCGTAGTCGAGGCCTGGCTCGTTATCTTGGACGATCGTCTGATCGGGGCAACCATAGATCGTAGGAACTGTGGGTATAAAAAGCCATGTAATCAATTGTATTGGACAAGTTTGCGGGAGAACTTGAAATTGAGACCTTTTGTCCTCGATCACCAGTATTGGTTGTGAATGTTCTGGAATTATAATGCTGACATTAGCATTTGCCTTTTGTCTTTGATACAAAATATTTAGATGTACATGTATGTGACTACCATCTCCACTTCGACTAATACGATGACGACATGGACGACAGCGACAAAATACCCGTACTGCATTTCTACTATTTACTTATACAATTATGTAGTTATTATGAGCAGCAACACTACTTGGAAAATTGTTCAACGATTAAAAAGTAAAAACAAAGAGACAAAAACAAACCAGATGGGGGAAAAAAAGGAAACTTGATACTGTCTTCTGCTTTTGGCTTCCGCATATCCTTCTACCCTCACCATGTAGAGATGTCGTGGTATGGTGGATATGTCACCACACTGTGGATCACGTGGTTCGCGGTTCAAGTCCCACTGCGGCACTAATGTCCTTTGACAAGACATTATCTACATATACCACTCTCCACCCTGGTAAAGTAAATGGGTACCCGGTAGAAGAAATCCCTTGAATGCTTTAGCGCCTTATTATGGCACCTCAGCTACAGCCGGGGCAATATTATGATACTTTGTGTGATGCGCAGTAGAGTATTATTCATTATAGTAGCTGCGCTATATAAATGGACTTATCATTATTATTATGATGACCAAATAGAGTATGCAATTATTTTGTTTAAATGTAAATTTGACATTGAAAAAACTTTAAACGATGTGCTGGTTTCGTTTACCTCTAACTGTGATGACGAACGTGCAACTGTCATCGTCTCCGGCCTCGTCAACGACCTGGTACATGACCGTCGTGTCGCCTAACTCAAACGACGACCCAGACGATATGGATGGCGTCACAGTGAACTGGCCTTGGCCTCCCATCACCTGTGGTTCCGCCCAGACCACGTCTACCATCGTCTCGCCGACTTGGAAAGTGATTATTCTGTCGTATGGACAGCTCGTGAAGGATGGACCTGGAGATTACAAGTATTATTATTATTATTAATATTCATTCGACTATTCATAAAAAAACACAAATACAATACAGCATGGCAAGAGACAAGTACCTAATAAGAATTAACAAACACATGCAAAGAGATAAGGGAGCAGCAAGTGGGTCAGGGTGCACAAAAGTGAAGTTCAATACTGTTGCCCGGAGGCATGTGCCCCGGTGACCATGAATGATAGATATTGATGAAAACTGTTTTATTCCAGTCCTTTATGAAATCATGAATAGGGAGCAACATTAATATTACAGCCCATTTGACGATTTGGCCAGCGAGATCCGTGTGAATGTTAAACTCTCTACCAATCCTCAGCTTAAAATTAATTTACAAATCAAGACCAAGGGCCGGTGGTCAAGGAACATGGGACCGACACCTCACCATGCCAAATTGTCGGCCTCGTAGGCCTTGTCAATTTTCAGAGGGTTCTTGGCAAAGCCCATGCACAGCCCACGCGTCCTCATTGTTTATGTATGATTAATTTATTTTGATGTTTTAGTGTAAGCTTTAAATATTCAGGACCAGGATGTAAACCAGTCCTTTCTGATCTTGTTATCCTGATGAAATATGTTCAAATAAATAAATAAATAAATAAATAATAAATAACGTTTTCATTTTCCCATCTGAATAATTTATTTCTTTCATCTTATTATTTCTAGTTGTCTATTATTCCTACTCTCATAGGCCTATTTATCTCATAAAATGGAATCAGTAATCTACTATTCTATGACAGTCTACAGTAGATGTTAAGATAGAACTCCTATGTAATGAAAACGGCAGTGCACCACGAACTCCCTCCCACACCACTACCTTCCTCGATGACTTTGTTCAGTCGCATTCCATCGACCTAGCAACACAGGTGCCTATCCCTAACCCCATCACACACACACACACACACACACACACACACACACACACACCCCACACACACACACACCTTTTTTTTTTAAAGCAATTTTGTTTTATTTCTCCAAAATTGAATGTGTAATACAAACAATAACATACAATTGAATAAAATAAACGTTTTCAATATTGATTGCTTATATATAAACATAATTAAACAAAAACTTATTTGCAGTATATAACTAACTTAGTAACAAAGTAAACGTATAAATACCTAAACATAATATATATGTCAATTTTAAATTGACACATACACACGCACACACACCCACACGCACGCACACACACACACGCACACACACACACACACACACACCCTTCCTCGGTGTCCCTGTTCATGATCACTCGTAATTCATCTTTCTGGAAAGACCAGTCCAAGCCCATCCCAACGCTTCCCGAAACACCCTACATTATTTTTATTGATGTTTTTTTTTTTAACTCACATTTTGTAAGAACATTGCCCACCACACCCCTTTCGTTACTGATTTGGCTCTGGTTAAAGGTACTATGTCCCATTTGCAGGCCAAAAAAATGAAAAAGGTTAAATTCCAACGGCATTTGAAAGATAATACTAATGTAGAACTTCCCTAAAAAAGGTGGGGCTTGAAAATGTCTTCAAGTGGGAAAATAACAACTATTAGTTGTCAAATCGACTTAGGAGCTATAGAGCGAATAAGTAATAGTCTTGATTTTCAGACCATTGTACCGAATGGTCATACATTTTATGCTGCGTAAAGATTAAATCAGTTTAATTTTAGCCATCACAAGAAGTGGGTTATTGATGTAGACAAATGCTCATGTACCCTTTACAGCTAATGTTATGTATGTTATAACCAAAGAAGAAAAAGGCCAGTCAGTCACTCAATAGTGTCTGACAGTGACGTCTAGCAAGTAAACGGGTTTCCTTGCATAATTTGAATATTAGGACACTGATAACGTTTAAATTTCACAGATAGGACATACATGACATATTCATAATTCCTGCAAAGTTCTACAGAATTTGAGGTGGGCTGCAAAAGGGACATATTACGTCGCTTGTAAGACCTGTGATCATCCAGTCCCCTCTGCATGACACCGCTTCCTCTACCCAGTCCTCCTCCCCTCAATGCCTTAGACTTCAGTAAGCCAACGATAATTACTGACAGTTTAGTACAAAATGAAAGAATTTTATTCAAAAATGATTCAAAACAGTTTACTGAATGGTAGCCTACAATTCAATGGGAGGGGGCTTAGCTTTCGAAGGATATTATCAATACGCGTCCTGTTTTCGATCTTTCCAACATAGCCACGTGAGAGGGTTGTTGATAAAAACAATTTTCCAAAGATGTGTTATGTGAAAAGTCTTTTCTATTCACGTTTTTAGTTTGGGCATGAAGGCGTAGCCATTTAGAGAAATGTTCGCCTTGGCCCAGGTGCCTCGTCTTACAGGATGAACGGATTACGAGAAAAGAGAGCCCGACAACAAAGGAGTGTGGAAGGAGTGGTATTACTTTCTTTCCCCGTTTTAAGGACTTTTATAAGGACTTCTTTCTTCTGCTACATTCTTGAGCCGAATAAAGAAGAAGAAGAGATGTCCATTGTTGCAACTGCCCCAATTGTCTGATACCAAATTTTGTTTCAGGCAGAAACACTCTACAACCCATGCATTACTCGTGTCCTTAGATAAAGTAGCTCATGCTATTGACAATATGGCAAATACTGTTGGCATTTTATTTGACTTTTCTAAGGAACTTAACACCATTAATCATAATATGTATTAGTGCTGTAACATCACGGATATCTCCAATTCCGTTTAACCGCCAGTCAAAACCGGACGGTTTTCGGTTAAACGCTTTAAAAAAATTAAATTTAAAAAAAAAAAAAAAAAAAAAAAAAAAAAAAAAAAAAAAAAAAAAAAAAAAAAAAAAAAAAATCGTTTTTTTTTGTTTTGTTTTTTTACCGACTCTGTCGGCAACTTTCATTTAACTGCGAGGTGCATTTAAAAGGGCCGATTTGTGCTTGTGAACTTGTCACAAATAATAGTAACAATGTTGTTTTTAGAAGAATGTGTAAGATCATTAATGTAAATTAAAAACAGAGGACCTAGGACCGAACCTTGTGTAAAAGTTGGATGAATTATTATTATAAACTACATATTGAGATGATGAGATCTATTACAAAGATTACTTTCAAACCAAGATGAAAGACAAATTGGAGTGTTGTTCTAGTTTTGGAGTGGTGAGTCAACACACAGATTACTGAGCTGGGAGACATTGCCAGGCATAGTGCCAGGTGGAGGGGCATAAATCGAAACTTTAAAAAAAAAAAAAAAAAAAAAAAAAAAATTATTAAAAAAAAAAAAAAAAAAAATTAAAAAAAAAAAAAAAAAAAAAATCGGGAAAACGAAACCGTCCAATTGAAAACGGAATCCGCCATGGGCGGTCGGATACCGGACGGTTAAACGTTTGACTACAGCACTAATATGTATATTATTTCACAAGTTATCCCATTATGGGATTCGAGGAAAGGCCTTGGAGTGGTTCAGGAATTATATCACAGACAGAAAGCAGTTTGTTAGTATTAATGGTCATGACTCTTATCAAATACCTACCAGTATATTGTGGTGTCCCACATTGTTCATTAGTGGGTCCATTGTTATTTGTAATATATAACAATGACTTCGGAAATTCCTCTGAAATAATGTCATGTATTCTCCTTGCAGACGACTTTAATATTTTCTACTCACACCGTGACCCACAATATCCCCTGAGGACTGTAAATAGTGAACGTAAGCTGGTACAAGCATAGATAAATGCAAACAAACTATCATTGAATGTCATTTAAACCCACTTTATGCTGTTTAGCAATTGTATAAAATCCCTACCAGGTAATATTTTAATAGACAATACAATTTTAAACAGGTCGGATCCACACAATTTCTTGGTCTCTACATTGAAAGTGATTTATCATTAAAGATAAACATTTTGGTACGTTCAATGAGAATTGCCATTGCGTACAGGAGGTAGTGATCGACAAGGTAGTGACAATGTAACACAAGTATTTTAATGAGTGGGTTATGTTTACCTATTCCTTATGATAAGTTTAAGTTTAATCCTATTACGTTATTCATTATACACAACTATATCAATGTTTTAACTTGGGGAGCCTATGATCTACAAGCATTGCTTTCTCTTTAGGCTCCATCATAATTATGTCTCCCTTTATTTAACTTACAGTTTGTAGTCTTATGTATTATACTCTTCGTGATTTGGTATATAGTCAAAAGGCAAGCAGAAAACATTGAAAATAGAAGTTGTGTTCATCTGTTGTTGCGAATGATCGATTTGCATATACAGAGTGTTTTTTATGTTGTTGCTGCTGTTGTTGTTGTTGTTTGTTTGTCTATGTGAATTAAAAGATATCGGTAGAAACAAGCAGTTTTATAAAGAGGAAACAGAAGTACAAAATACTTTTGAGATAGGTTCTACTACATACTGCGCAATACAAGCGAATGGAAAAGGCAGGTAAACTAAGGAATGTCTACATCGTGGGGTCCAGGGTTGGCTGGCATGCAGGGGGAGTGCACATGTCTTACAAGAAAGAAAAATAACATAAGCATATTTTGAATGGGGGCACACACATAATATTTTGCAGATTTTCCATTTTTTACTGGGGGCACATTCCCCCTGCTCCCCCTCCTTCCCAGATTCGTGGATGAGATTAGAATGTGGGAACACCGAGCAAGCAGGTATCCTGCTGGGCGTTTGTTGAATGTTTGTTCAGTATGATTAATACGGTTTGGTTCAAGGTAAATGCAAACAATACAGAACTCTTTTATAGGTGTCACGATGATGAATTAGCCTGGCTGTATTTCATTGTGGAACAATGTAGAGTCACATGATAAATACGGAACTTAAAATGAATATTCTGAAATCAGGCTTATCTGGACACGTTAAAGAAGAAATTCAAACTTTAGGCCAATCCATAATGTTCCAGGTGGTTACTCCTTGAATGATCTGGGCCCCGTTTCAATCATAAGTGTCATATTTCTATAACAAATTTGCTCTCAACCAATCAAAACAAATATTTCAGTAGCTTATAATAGTTATTGCAACTTGTTATTGATAACATTTTTATGAAACCGGGCCCTGGTATCTTTTGCCTACAATTAAAGTACTCTCAATTGCTCGCGAAATGTTCTTGTTCTTGTTTATACTTAAACATTTTGTTTCCAATGTTGTGCGCTAAGGATTAATTACCTATACGACTGTATTCGTGAAAAAGTGGAGGTTAATGAGGAAATTATTAACGTATGACACGGAACAAACGAGAGTTATTCATTTTTATTTTTGTTATTCAGTCCTCTTAAAAATACAGGGTAGTTCCTTCAGAGCTCTATAGGCAAGTGACAAAGTACATGGTAAAAATTACAACAACAAAAAATAACATATACACAGTACATGATACACAGTTCTTTACTACTCAATAAATTTGGTAGGTTAACACAAAACACGTTTTAGTTTGGAAAGACGACTTACTTAAAATTCAAGCTTGGTTGAAATGAGCCAAATAAAGCAATATCATATTATAATTATATTTATCAATTAAACAAAACAAGTTCACATAATATATACTTGCACGGATACGATAAAATCAAACAAAATTTAAAGCACATTAAAAGATTAGAAAATTTCAAGTCAGACTCAAGAGTTTAAAGAAAAGTGTGGCTAAAAAGAAAATGTCAGGTTTTAAAGTGGATTGCACACAATGGATAGTTTAACGAGACTAAAAGATAATATACAATAAAACGAGCAAAAGAACAAACACTCTGTCAGCCGTCGTTGAAAATAGTGAAATCAATCATATAATTATATACTTTTTTTTTTAAAGCAGTGTCGGGTTTTATTTTTGAAAACTTGCAAAGATGATGATAAGTGAGTAGGAAGCGGTAATTTATTGCACTGTGAACATGCAAAGTAAGAAAATAAGCTTTTAAAAAAAATCTGTTCGGGGTTTGGGTATAAATAATGAGCCATTGAGGGCATTATTATGCACTGTGCAGGACGTCTGGATACAAATGTATTTAAATACAAAGGAGTTTAACATTTTGTAAACGTTAACACAGCATTGGTGCTATACTCTTTCTTCAAAATATTGCCATTGAAATTTATGCATCAAAGTAGCACTCGATTAATCTTGCATATTTATTTTGACTTCTTTGTAATTTTGTCATATATAGTTTTTGTAAAGAGTGTTTGGGTCGGAAGCCCGATTGGCGGTCAGACAAAAGACGATGTTCGTTCAAATAGTGATACAGTAAGTGAGTGAACAGCTATTTCCAATATTTTAGAAACCGATGCCAAAAGTAAAATAGGTCTGAGGTTTGTTATTTGATTTGATCGTTTACTTTTAGCGATTGGAATAATCTTTTGGAATAGATCTTTTGGAAAGCGGCCGGTCTGCAAGGATCGGTTTAATAGCCAGGTTAAAGGCTGTGATATGACAGGAGCACCGAGTTTCAATAATCGAGGATTTTATTCATCCAACCAAATCGCTTTTGTACAATCAATATCACTTAACTTTTTCAGAACAAACTCAGAGTCAATGTTACCAAATTTAAAAGAAAAAGCTGTTTGTGACAAAGTTTCAAAGAGATTCGTATCATCATCCGCTATGTTTAAACTAGAAGCTATATCGCTGCCGACACTAGCAACTAAACATTTCATTGAATTTGTTAACTATAATATTTTTTATCAGAAATAACTTCTTGGTCAATAACAATATGCCTTTCTTCCTCAGACTTTTTACTTGGAAGTAAATCATTCATCACCTTCAAAGTTTTCCGAAAATCGTTGCTGGTTTCCGTAAGCTTAGTTCTATAATAAAACCTTTTCAATTTTGTATTCGAATTGTTCGCTTTGTTTCGAAAGCAAGTGTGTTTTCCCAGTGCTACTTCATGGTTTGGTTATATTGAACAGGTTGCTGAAGATTAGGTTGATAATTGGATTCCGGTATCTTAGCTTTAAGTTGGTCGAATTTCTTTTTGTTGAAGTTCCTCTTTCGGGCTAAAGCCAAGTATTCATCGTTAATCCACGGAGAACCATTCATCTTTTTCCTCACAGAAAATGTACGGAGCATGACTGTTTGTTACACTATTAACGACTAAAATTGTCGACATTGTCTTCTAAAGAGAAGACTGAATCCCAACCACTGGATGCAAGGTAATTTTGAAAGTCGTTTTTTCTTCAAGGACCTGATCGTTCTAAAAGAAGAGATTTGAGGAGTTAATGTTGTGACTATAATATATAAGTACACTCTAAAGAATGGTGGCTTAATCCAACTGATTGAACTCCAGCTTTCAATGGGCCAAGTGTGTTGGAAACACATATTAAATCTATTAAAGAGAAGGTTGAGTTCTGGGAAGAGGTGAAAAATAATTTGTGAGCATTACTCATTCTTATTATGCGAGTGTGGAAGAACATCAGTTAAGACATGTTCCCTCAAAAGCTTGGCTCTTCAAATGCCTTCATATTCTAAATATGCATGTAATATCGTAAAAATCGGGGGGCCGGATTTTTACGCCACGTGTTCGTGTAGTCCCATATACATCTTTCTGTGCAAGTGTTTGTAACTTTACCAAGACTTGGCCACATTTCTTATCATTTTGATGATTCCAGAACCTTGCAATACACACAATTCATATATGCTAGATGATCAACCTTTTAAGATCGATTCCACACCGTTTCTTTCACAATGCAATCGCATGACCAGAACTCAACTGCTGTTTGGAGTAATACGAGTTGGATGACTGGTTGAGTAAAGCCTAAAGACCTAGTAGTGTTTGAAAAGGGATTTGATGTAGGCATGTTAGGATTATGAAGTCCCCCGCTTATATGATTAGGTCCGAAAAGAGAGAGCTCGTTCTGAAACACATTCCAAGTTGTCAAAAAAGGTAAAACCACTATCTGGTTTTCTGTAAATAGTTCCTAACAGTAAAATATCGGACTTATTTATTGGCTTAATTTCAAGCAACATTAATTCAATATCATTAGTTTCCGGATCATTTCTTCTTACATAATTTATTTTTTCTTTGAAATAGCACGCAGCCCCTCCTCCACACGGATTGCGATCTTCTTTCAAACTTAAAACCCTCCATAGAAAGCATGTTACTCGAATATCTTCATCAATCCAAGTTTCAGAAAGTGATATTATATCATATGGATTATACACTTTAAAAGCTGCTCTAAATCTTTTTATTACGTAAACTTCGAACATTTCAGTGTGTAATTTTCATTCCTTTGTCGAGTGGGAAACAATATTGATCTTTGAAAGTGCGCTTCTTGATTAACACATAATTTAATTTATTACGCCTCATAGAACAGAATAATCATCCCTTCGAGGTTTCTATATTCCTGTCCTGTTTTCTGATGATGGCAGTAAAGTATTTACAGCGATAATCATGTAGCGACCATTTTTAAGTTTACAATACATAACACTGTCAAAAAGCCTATCCTCTTCACCAATAAAAAAAAAACTTCAATATAATATTAATGATTTAAATAATTGATCAAACAAATTATTGCGCTGAGCCGGCCGAATAATAATACACCTCACAACATTGATTCCATTCAGTTGTACTGTGATCAACTTGCATGCATGTTTTATGATAAACACTTAAAATCTAAACTTCACTATAACTTACCCTGCGCTTGAGTCTGCCCACTGCATGATAAAATGAGAAGAACTTTCAGAAGAATCACTTTCAACAAAATTCCCAATGTTTCCATGATTATTTTCTGATATTTTACACTTCAATTAGAATCACTGTCGACCCATACTCGACTTGTTATGACAGGGCAGTCATGTATTCTCTAACTGAATCCTGATTTAGAGAGCTGTGTCATTATATACCGCATGACGAAAATATTTGCTTTTTTTGTACTCCTAAAAGCGTGATTTTTTTCCCCTCTTCTTCCGAAGCCTGTTAAAAGCTGCTCGACGGCACAATCATCGCACTGGGCCGTGAAAGCTCCTATTGGATTTGTGCACTTAACCGTGGACAGTCAGGCGAAACTGTGAAAATAATACCTCAAAGGGAACTATACAAAGTGGCTCACCGAATTACCCATAAATCACATAATTATACCATTATACATAACAGTATATTCGGAGAACAAATCCTGTTTGGGAGAAAGAGACAGAGACAGAGATACAGAGAGAGAGAGAGAGAGAGAGAGAGAGAGAGAGAGAGAGAGGGGGGGAGGGGGTGGGGTGGGGTGGAGGTTAGATTGTAAGTGAATTGAAGTTCTCTAGTTTGAGATGGGTCGGTTTGCCTGTATTTCTCTCTCTCCCTTTTCCAACATCTCGATCACGAATGCAATTTTGACATAATTACATTTTTTGCACTCAATTATCTTTGTGAAGCCTATTTTGACACCACAATTCTGATTTTTAGAATGATCCCATCCTGCATGTTTTGGTTTTTCATCAATAAATTTGAATATTAATGCGGTATTTATTTCGGGCCCATGTACAGTGGAAGAGGCAGTGGGACTAAACACAACCTTTGAGGAGGAAATGAGAGAGTGGGGTGGATTGAAGAGAGAGAGAGAGAGAGAGAGAGAGAGAGAGAGAGAGAGAGAGAGAGAGGGAGAGAGAGCCAGAGAGAGAGAGGGAGAGAAAAAAGAGCTAGATAACAACAGTGAACCCTGCGTAATGACGCACATTCAACCAATGAGTCATTGTACTGGGGCGGCGGAGCGTCTTCCAAAGTGGGGGGGGGGGGGGGGGGGGGGAACCGATAAAAAAAAAAGGGTAGAAATATATGATCTTTGACGTTGATATATAACCCTACATTGTGATTATTACTTTATCAGGGATGATTTAATTTTGTTTTCTTTCTTTACAATGGTTCAAAGATTTGCTTAAAAGTACTTTGCAGTTGGGTATCGTGGTCTGAAGATTTATTGCTAGCGAAATTTGTAAAGTCGAATTCTGATGGGGTTTTAAGCACAATATCATCAGAGGCTGAAAAGGACCTTTACTAAGTTACGTACATGTAATTACATCAATTATAAATGTCATCAGAGTGAGCGAGCTTTGGGCGAAATTCGATAAAAGGTTGATCTTAGTCACTTTAAATTAGGGGCCCAAATTGTTATGGAGAAATTTAAGGAAAAGTTATTAGAAAATAGAAAAGACAAGTGGTGTCCAGAAAAAGGGGAGAACTTACTAGAGATGGTATAAGGGGCACTTTTCATACCTGAAAATGGGCACTCACCGGAAATTAAGAGGGGATACTTATGAGAATGGACAAGGGTCACTTGGCGATGGAAAAGTGACAGCCCTAACAGATTTACAAGGAAGTGAAACGGAGCTCTTATTACAAAGGAAAAAGGGCACTTGTCAAAGGAAAAGTCCTCTCAAATTTCAGGATTGCTATTATCAGGCATCAAGGGACACTTCTCGAACCTGAAATTGGGCACTCCCCAAAAATGATAAGTTGCACTTATTACAAAGAAAAAGGGGAACTTGTCGATGGAAAATCAACACCGATCAGATTTCACTAGGGGCATTTATCACTGAGATGAAAAGGGGTTTTTATTCAAAAAAAGAAAAGAGGCACTTTTCAGAGACGAAAAAGGCAGTTATTAGAAACAAAAATGGGGTGTATGTCAAAGTAAAAAGGGGCACCTCACAAATTTGAATAAGGGCAATTATCAGAAGTGGTAATTTGCACTTATAGGAATGTGGAACGGGCACTTATTAGAAAGGAAAGGGGCATTTATCTTAAAGGTAAAGACCAGTATTGGTAACGCCCCAATTTCAAAAAATGAAATGGAAGCTCTCATTACCAATCATGTGAAAGAATATGTTTTGACTAATACAATCATGATGATAAAAAATTTGCCGGGAAACCGCCTACTAATTCATATATTTGGTAAATTTATTTCTCTCATGGTCGTGTGAGAGAGATAGGGTAGTCCCATATACATCTTTCTGTGTATAGTGCTTGTAACTTTACGAAGAATGGGCCAAATTTCTTATCATTTTGATGATTCCAGAACCTTGCAGATGCTAGATGCTAGATGATCAACCTTTTCTGATCGATTCCACAACGTTTCTTTCACAATGCAATCGCATGACCATTACTGGTCTTTACCTTTAAGTAAAAAAAAGGGCACTATTGGGGTACTTAAAAAAGTGGAGGGGGCACTGTGCCCCGTGCCCCCACCCCAATCCCTGGAGCGCCGCCTCTGTTATTGTAATACTCAAAATTCCATTAGTTTAGAATTATAGGTTTGAAATATAGATCTATACCTTGAGTAGAAATTGAAGGAAGCGAAGGGTATAAAGTAGGTATACATTTCATTCCCTCTCTCTCTTCCCATAGCTATTGCAACCTTCAAGAATAAATACAATTGCAATACTATTTTCAAAAAAGTTTCTATGTCAAAATTAAAAATTAAAAGAATTAATACACATCTAATCTGAGTCATCGAAACCTGTCTTGCGTACAGTACATCGTTAAATTATTCTCTCAGTGAGCCTATAAATCGTCAAATGAAAAAAAAAAAAAACATAAGTTGAACACAAAATGATTAGGTCTGATTTTCTTGGTTATAATAATTGCAGTTTTTTTTTTTTTACTCTTCGTGTAAAATAGTATCATTAAAACATAATTGATTACAAATTTCAAAAAGAAAATAAAAGAGGGGAGAAAGATGAAGAGAAACTGAGAGAGACTTCCATGAATGATGGAAGCTATTTAATATAACGAACATTGTCCTTTACCAATTCACAAGAAAAAGCAAACCAAGAACGAAATTGCTTTTACGAAGATTTTCCAGAGCGCCATCTACAGCTAGCTCAGATGAACATATTGCATTGAAGAGATTTTGACCATATTTTTATGTGCAAAATCATGTGACAACAACATCAGTGATATTCTGCTGGTCCGAAGTTGGCACTTATGGAGAAGTAACCATGGCTTCTGTAAAGGTTGCTGTAAGAGTACGGCCTATAAATGCAAGGTGAGTGAGCTGAGTTAGACATTACGATGATAATTTTATATTTTAAAATGACATTATTTATCAGATATCATGCGAATACCGGCGCGATCGCGACTGGTCCAGCTGAATTGCTTTACCGGCTGTGCAAGGTCACGCCAGGCCGTTCGCACTGGCTACGTGATCCGTGGCCGCCCCGCTGAAGATGGCGATGGGCGCCTATGTGCTGGTGTTTTAAGTGTACTGATATGATGTTACACCATTATCCAATGATTTTGCGCATACAAATTGTGTATGAATTAGCAATAATGCAAAACTCATAAAATTGCCAATACTATGGTTAAGCAATAAGTGATCTTAGATTTTGGAAGAATCTGAAATGGCGATCGCTCAGTTGGGGAAAAATGAGAGAGTCTATTTTGGAAGAATCTGAAATACCGATCGCTCAGTTGGGGAAAATTGAGAAAGTCTGACTCTTAGGCTGAGTAAAATCGACTTAACCCAGACTCTACCTCCTGTTTTGTTATATATTTGTATTGCCAATCGTTGGATGTGAAATAAAAGAAAGTCTGACGAGAGGACATGTGATGCAATTACAACTTTTAATGAACCTCATAGTACTCGTAGAGTGCATGGACAAGTTGAATTTGTATGGAAAAAAAATTGTTTTAAAATTGACTTAATAATTGTAATATAACTTGAGTGACGTGAACAAATGTCAAATAACAAAATAACTCTCTCCCTCTCTCTCTCATTTACCAAAAAGTCTAGCAAAATAGTAGCATTATTGTCTACTTGGCCTAGGTCCCAAAATATGAACAAATCCATATTCTTTGAACCGTTTGATAATTGCTATTCAACGACAGTGCAGAATCAGGAATCAAAACAGTTTGCAAATGATTCATGATTGTGCCGAAAATATGAATTTCATACCAAATTACTTGGGCAGGAACAGTAGTATTTATAGCCATAAACATTTGGACTCTGAATAAGATTTAAAGATGAAGTTGAGTTCTGGTCATGCGATTGCATTGTGAAAGAAACGGTGTGGAACCGACCAGAAAAGGTTGATCATCTAGCATATAAGAATTTGTGTGTATTGCAAGGTTCTGGAATCATCAAAATGATAAGAAATTTGGCCAAGTCTTGGTAAAGTTACAAACACTTGCACAGAAAGATGTATATGGGACTACACGAACACGTGGCGTAAAAAGCCGGCCCCCGATTTTTACGATGTTACATGCATATTTAGAATATGAAGGCATTTGAAGAGCCATACTTTTCAGGGAACATGTCTTAACTGATGTTCTTCCACATTTGCATAATAAGAATGAGTAATGCTCACAAATTATTTTTCACCTCTTCCCAGAACTCAACCTTCTCTTTAATCTGGTACTTTGATTTTTTCCCTTGCCATTACTAGACCTCAATTATTTATAAAGTTTAAATAGATCTAGATCTAAATGTCTTTATTTATTTTCTCACCTTAATTTTTTCTCTCTCTACATTTCTTGACAATTACAGGGAAATCAATCTTGGATCATCATGTATCATTTCTATGGAGGATAAAAAGACCAGTATCACAAATCTAAAGGTAAATTTGCAGTCTGATGAATAGACCTGGGGCTGGTTTCTCAAACCAGTTACAACACCAAGTTTCTGGACATCCCCTTCAAATGTGTGCTAATTGTACAACATTTGTTCCAGTGTGACTGGTTCACAAATAAAGGATTGTGATAGTTTTGTTAAACTGGCCCCTTTTTACTAATTACTTTTCATTCATGGATGTTTTGAAGCAGAAAGGCTAGTTCATTTTCATGTTATATGTGACAGGAATTGGGACGGGTTCACAAACTCAGGCTTATAAAGACAGTTTTGAGAAAGTGGTCCCTGTTTACTAATTCATTTCTATTTACGGATGTTTCTTCCAAGAGCCAATTCTCTTCAGTTCTTTTGTTGTTATGTGCAACATGAAGTATATGGATAGAATCTGCACTTTGCATGCAGACATTGTTGCTATGTTGGACCAGCTGGGCTTGACTCAATCTGAAAATTTGTGGTGCTCTGTTTGAGAAGTCTAGTTATATTACCTTGTTTATTCAAACCAGCTTTTTTGTGTAAAAATTGAAATTAATACTTCAAACAAGATTTCCTTTTTTTAAAGTGCTCTTCAAAATAATTTTTTTTTTATACAACGCTTTGCGTCCTTCTTATTTTATTTATTCATTTACATTCTAGGTGTGTAAGGTTGGAATAATTCAATCTCTCACCACTCACACTCACCAGACAATATCATGTATAATTCGTGAAAAGAAAATTGGTATGGGCTATTGTATGTTTTCTCTGTAATCTATGCCAAATTATTATATATTAGGGTCAGGAATATAATATATGTATGGGTCTGGTGTGTCCTTCTGTCCATATCAAAGTAGATGAATCTATTATCTATACCTACTTTGCAACCAATTAATTTCAATGAATACTGGAAAATCTAAATGAATTGATTAATGCATTGTTTGCCAAGGTTATTCAGTCTAAAGATGAAGTCTTCAAAGAGAAGAAATGTACAGCAGTTCAATTTGCCATTGCACAACAAAATACAGGAGACCATGTTTAAAAATAGAACTTGACATTACACAGTTCACTATGCTGTGAAATTTTGCAGTGAGGCCTAGTTGGTTAAAAATCATAAATATTGATTTATTATAGACTTTGTACACATTTATGACATCCTAGTTGCCAAGAGGTGATATGAAAATGTCAGACACCACCATACAAGTATGAGTAGTCAAATTTTATTAGCCATTAATACTGAACTTACCTGGGATATAAATATATTGGTGCTTGGATGTTTTTATCTTGAAATAATCATACTGTGTTCAGTGTGTTGTTTGTTGTGGATCAACAGTCAATGATTTTCACACAGATATACAGGACCCTGGCCTTGTATGTAAATAGATATTGCATATACTAAGTATGAAAATGCAAACTGAATGGAAACTATGACAGCTATGATTGAAAAGGCATTTGCTTTTTTAATGCTGCACTGTTTGCCAAATGCCAATTACTTTCAAATTCCATGTATCAAATGTAGGATGGATGGAAAGCAGACTAGATATGAAGTTACATTTTAATTGGACGAAGTGTAACTTTGCTACGAGTGCTAGACTATAATTGGTGTATAAAAGTCCAAAGGGTGTGGTGATAAGGAGTCTCCACCCATGGCCATATAGATGTACTTGTACAATGTTTTTTGTTAATGCATGAATAGGATGTTATGTGGAGTGTATAGATTTGCATTAAAAAGAATTCTTGATCATTTAATAACAATCATAATAGTAGTGGGTTCTTGTATATACAATGTAGTGCTCATGTTTGTCAGATGTGACACTCCTGTGCTCCACCATTATTACTCTTGCAATACATGTAACTTGGCTGATATTATGTCGCTCCAGCATTTCAAGGAATTAATTCCTGTCAGGTACCCATTTACCTCACCACGGTGGGACTCGAACCGTGAACCATGTGATTCACAGTCCAGTGATATATCTACCAGACCACAACACAATTAACAATTATCTTTTAATTTGACTGTTGGAATCAGCAAAATATGCCACTTACAATGAACTCTTCAAATCTGACACTACATGTACATGTACAACTGTAGATACATGTAGGTATTTGAAGCCTCATCAGTGAAAAAAGGTCTAGTGGTATTTAAATTTTAAAACTTGGGACAACTTTAAAGGCAATCTTTCTCCTGTAACACAATCTATAATAATAATACGCTAAGGCTCCGCGGGGGGCGCGACGTCTCGGCGAGCCTTTGTATTCTATTGTTTTTTAATGAGATCGCCGACCCAAGTTGGTGCGGCTATCTCCTCCTGAACCCTTCCCTCGGGGTACCGGTGACCGGTGCCATCGTCCGCGGGAGAGTCTACTCTAGCGAATTGGCTATACTCCGCCCGAGGTCCTCCTCCGTGTCGACGTCCAGGGCGAAAACAGACGCGACATGCATAATGCAGGATATGCGTGACGACAGAGATACCTCATGGATATTCAACATGACATCGGTAGACACACGACCGATGACTATCCACTCACATTAAGTTGCGTATTAAATGCTCTATGCAAAGGGCGGGATTACCGAGAGTAAAGCATCTTTCTATAGGATGTGCTTTGTTGTAGCTAGAATGTGCCTTGCATACATGTAGTAGCTGCACAAGAGATACACGGGGCTTCCCGTCGACGTCCAAACTTAGAGACCTATTTCCATCATGATTGCCCCGATTTTTATATAGTTTTCGTGAATGGAGGTATGATATCAAAGCTTATTTTGTGATTATTACGGCCATGTATACTCAATTTTGATTATCATTTTCTAAAGGAAAGTTTTGACAAGAAAACCATTGGACTGACAATTCAGTCGCAAGCTAACTTCAGTCACCACACATCACAGTGCAGTAACTCCAGGAATCTCCAACACCGGCACCGGGCACCGCAGGCGTCCGAGGCCTGCGGCGCCGGTGTTCGAGCTTCATGGAGTGGCGCTGGAGTGTTATGTGTGTGAGTACAGCTGAGCTGAGCTCGAGTCGAAGAGATTTGACACTTTGAAATTGTTATCTGTTGGTTTGCATCATTATTGCCGCGATTTCAATATAGTTTCGTGAATAGATTTACGAAACCTGAGCTTAGAATTAGTAAAAGTATTACTAATGTCTACGTTTTTAAACGACTGTCTGATTTTCTTGTGAAAATTTTACTTTGAAAAATAATTATCGAAATTTATGGTCAGAAATAATCACAATCTAGGGTCTATTATGTTACAGTTCTTGCATCAAATCAATGCATGAAAACTTAGTTATTGAACTAGAAAAATGTTTTTTTTTTAAATAGACAATTATGAAGAAGGAAACCTGAAACCCTGAGTTGAGTGTATATTTGTTTCATGGGGCCATAAACCCCCAAAAGCTCGGGGGTTACGTTCTTCAAAGTTGGGGGGGGGGGGGGGAGATCAGATCGCAGCGAGTTGAGTGTATATACAATATAGGCGTGGGGTCCACGGGTTTCAAGGGGCCATAAACCCCCGAAAGCTCGGGGGTTTTAGGCGTTTAATTAGGGTCAGATGAGCATATTTTTAATACTTTATTTGTGACACTTGCGGGTCACTAATTGGCTTGGGGTCAATACGTAGAGTTGCGTAGTGTTGCTACCAACTACGCTGGCCTACGTTACTATATGCTGAGGGACAGAAAGGGGTACGCAAGATGAACGAAAACAAGTCAACATGTTTAATTTTTTTTCGCGTACTTTCAGCGTAGAAACTTGACGCAGAAAGTACGCCTTTTTACGCAACACTATGCTACCCTACGCCAGATCGTCAAAGCAGTAAAAGCTTTCCACACAGTAAGCAACCATATAAGCAAACCTGTACTCCAGCCTACGCATAACCTACGCAGGGACTATTTTCCCATTAATACGCAGCCTAATTTCTGCGTAGTCGGTACGCCACACTACGGAACTCTACGCAGTTCCAGTGGCTTAAAGAATAACTACCGGTACAGTTGGATCGTTTTTTTAATTTTTTTTATATAAGGCCAAATTTTAAAAAAAACATGTTTAGCGTCCTGTTTTTTCTGAAAAATGGGAGGGAGGAGGCCTTTTTTTTTTTTTTTCTTCTTTCAAAATGGCTGCTCCGTACATTTTCCCTGACATTCAGGCTTTTTTTCAAGATGGCAGCCGACAATTTTTTTTTTTCTTTTTAAGATCAGAAATACATTTTAGCAGTGCTTTTCATGTTTTTTTTCTTTAAAAAAAAAAAAAAAATCAAAAAAAAAATTCAAAAAAAAAAAAAAAAAAATAGGAGAGGCGGCCCCCAGAAAGGAAGCGGGTGGGGACGCTGTTTTTTTTCTATCAAAAAATTCAACAAAAAAAAAAAATTCAAAAAAAATTTAAAAAAATAAAAAAATAGGAGGCGGCCCCCAAAAAGGAAGCGGGCGGGGAAGCTGTTTAAAAAAAAAAAAAAAAAAAAAAAATAGGAGGCGGCCCCCAAAAAGGAAGCGGGCGGGGACGCTAAACATGTATATTTTTTTAATGGCCTGAATGGCAAATAACGTTCTTGGTGGTTTTGATTTAGACATTCTCTATATATCTATTTACACCCCCGCCCCCTCTAGAATCCCGCGGATTTCCGCGGGTCCTGCTAGTTACAATTATAATATTATAATTCATAATCTTAATTTGTTTTTCGGATCTCTAAATTACCTGCTATTTGAACAGAGTATAGCATAGTGTATCTCACATTTTAGTCGATAAACATTTAAATTGCTATGTTTAACATTATTTGGATGGAGTAGAGTGCATTTTACATTTTAAATTGATATGTACTTGATACTTCAAACATACATCTCTGCAGTGAAGGCTACTTCAATCAAGGCCTATACCTGTACATACACATTTACTAGACAAGACTATGCCTATACACTGTCACCATTTTAATCTCATTTCCCTGTATTGGCCCCAAGATTATCATAATTTTACAACTCTCGGTATTAAACAGTGTTTCTGTTGTATTGAAAATGCCATCTAACCATA